CAGCTCTCGGACAGAGTCTTGAGACTTGGTAGTCTTGGGAGCAGTGGCTCTAAGGACCATACAGCGACCTTGTTGGGTGAGGGGCTTAGTTTGAAATGTAGGCGGCTTCTCCTTCCCTACTTACTGCTGATTATTACTGGGAAATTCAAAGTGTGAAAAGTAGAAAATAAAAGTCACTTCTAATTCTGAGAGAATTACTGATCACTCTTTGGTATTACTTCCTAAGAAAAAACAAACAGTGTTTAAATTGCATGTATAAAATTTAGGACCTAAAAATTGGGTTCATACCTTGTACATAGCTTTGCATCCTGGTTTTGTTTTTGCAGCACTAGAGTCTGAACTCGGGATCTCATGCTTGCTAGGCATGTGCTCTTATTGCTTGAGCTACTCTGCCAGCCCTGTATCCTGTTTTTATAGGTCCTTTTTTGTTTTTTTCAGACAGGATCTTGCTCTGTAGCCCAGGCTGGTCTTGAACTAAGCCTCCCAAGTGCTGGGATTATAGGCATGTGCCACCATACCTGGCCTTAAGTGCTTTTAATTCTTATTTAAAAATAATAATTATTTTTATATTTTAAAATATTATTATATAAGTAATGAATGTTTGTTTTGGAAAAAATTAAAAACAAAAGTAACTGAAAGCATCCGTAGTGAATTATTACTCATGAAAGACATGAACTGATGCTGATCAAAGCCACACAGTCCTGGATAAACAGGAGGACTAGGTTCTAAAGATCTATCGCACGTTTTGGGGACTACAGCTGAGAGCAATGCTGTGTGTCTTTGAAAATTGGTGGAGAGTAGGTTTTAAGGTCTCCTTACCACACAAACAGGTATGTGAGGTAGTCCATATGTTAAATACCTTGACTGAGCCAGTCCACAGTGCATACGGATATCGAAGCACCATGTTGTTATTTATCAGTAAAAACTTCATTAAAAATGTGGAAGCACCCTAGTCAGAGCATGTGGAGGGAGGGCACACGTGCTTTTTCAGGCTTTTTCTGTACCTGCTTTCCCAGACAGTCTCTGGATTTATGCTGCTGTTCAGATGTTCTATAAGTCCTTTCCCCCAGTATATGGTAAATATATCCTTCATCCTCTCACTTACTAAATCATGAGTGCTTCTCCAGATCAATATTTTAAAGTAACTCAAGTCTTTGGCATCTGGACGTGCATCAACTAGCAGGAGCAGCTTAGAGCTCTCAAGCCCTGTGTCCCCTTGGGCCTGGCTGCTCACTGACTCTGGCAGTAAGTAGGCTGTCATCTTTGGCTCTGCACAGCGTCTTCCCTTCTGTAGTCTCAGAATCCCCCAGCTTCTGCCCCTACTGCCACTGCCGTCACCTGCTCAGCCCGCTCTTCCTGTGGTAAAATCACAGGTAGGACTAAATGTTGTAACACCAGGAGGTAGCACAGGAGGTGTCTCCTTGCTGACCCAAAAAGTGAGCCAAACAGCTTGGTTATAAAGCCAGGAGGGGTTGTGGCATGTGTGTGGCACCAGTGTAGGACTGTAATTTGCTCAAATTGCAGCCTAGCTTCCCTTTCAACAGTCCCCAGCTTGCATAAGGACCAGTCACAGACATCGAATTGCCCCAGTTACCAAGGAAAGTGCCCCCTCTGGCCTGAGTGAGAACAACTGCAGGACGAGGACAGGGTTGCCTCGAGTTCACTGAGACTTGGCTGGCCTGGAGAGAAGTCTTCCAAAGCTGGTGCAGGTTGTCTGGAGCAATCCTGCCTAGAGAAGGCCTCCTGAAGCAGAAGCTGTGGCCAGCAGCCCAGGCTAACATGTTCCTTGCAGCTGGAAGGTGTCTGTGTCAAAGCAGTTGGTTGCCATAATGATAGTCCAGCCGGTTACCAAAAGGGCTGCTCTGCTGACAGCCCTGCACCCAAGACAGCTGAGCACACTGAAGAGGTCTGACAGCTGTCAGTCAAAAGGGATCAGCTGGCCAGCCCCCCAACAGCTTAGCTTATTTGAAGTAAAAGTAAACATTAAAGGAGGCTTACCATAAAGACTCTCACTAACATCGACACGCTTAACCTTAGCATTGCTGCGTTCTTACAATGCTTAAGAAAGCCCAGCTCAAACCCCAGTCCCACCAAAACCAAAACAAAACACAACGTGTGCTTGGTCTGCATTGAAATACATCTTACTATATGTACTTGTAAACTGTAAGTGAGTTTTAGTTTAGGGTGTTCTGTCTTGAGTTTTGTACTTTTAGGACACTAAACGTATTTTTCCAGAGTGTTCGATTGAGATTAATAGTCTTAATTCCTAGTGGTCAGTGCTGTACCAAAATAAGTCTTAAAACAGGGAGGTAAGAAAAACCATTGCAGTTTCTAAGCCACTTGGGAATACTTCATAAAAAGTCACCACAGTTACTAAAAATCACATTATTTATGCAGTTAAATCACTGTCCTTAAGCAGTGGTACAAGGTGTTTGGAGAACAGCAGATGTGCACACAATCCGCGTACACGCACGTTTGCATGCAGTAGGCTGTTGTGGACAGCGATGTGAAGCTTAGGCCCTGTGAGTGCTGAGGGGAGAGTGATTTTCCATGCATGGTTAGGGAATCTGGTGTGTTGAGTGGCTACCTGAGAGTCCAGGGCAGGTAAGGGCAGCCCAGTGTGTTGGGGCGTGGGAAAATTGGTAGAGGTGTGTTCCTCTCCTAGGGGCCCTGGGGCCGGCAGCAGAGCAGCCTGTACACCTTGCCCACTCTGGCTTGTCAGACACGTCTCATCTCTGATGGCGGGAGGCCTGTTACTATGCCTATACCCTTGACTGGCTGCTCAGCTTCCTCACACTTACCCGGGATGGTGTTTCTGAGAGGAGCCCTGATGTCACATTCAAGTGGAGAATGCTTTGAGGCAAAAGGGCAGCTAGCCTGCGGTCACTATGCCGGAGGTGTTGCTCTCCTTGCCTGAGACTCCCTCACGACTTGCCAAGATGTGGAGTGCTAGGAGGAGGGTCCCAGCTCCTGTTGGCTGGCATGGTAAAAAGCAGAGGGACAGAAATGGCATTTCTTAGCTTTGCCCCAAGGGTGCTCTGCCCTGCTCTTCCGTCTGAGAAAGTTGTGCACAAACCAGCATCGCACCCACACAGTTCCAGCACATGTCTGAGTAATGCTGATGTAGAGCTTCTGAGTTACGTTATCTGATCACGTGATAAAAAAGCGAGTGACAGGAGGATGGGTAGAAGCCAGAGCATCGAGGGATAGGTGGGGAAGGGAAGATATGTAGCTGTGAGGCAGGGGAAGTGCTGAGGTAGCTGTTAGTGAAAGATAAGAGCGGAGTTCTGCCAAGCCCATGTGGGGACAGGGCATAGTTTTTATAGAGATGACCCAATGGCGATGGAAACTTTTTTCTTGTTAGTGTCTTGGATCTTCACTGTTGTCACCAAGTTACCAACAATCTGCTAGTCCATTATTTCCTTAAATTATTGTATACCAATACTAATTTAAAGTCACTTAATCTGCAGTTGTTAATAAATTGCTCAGACTGTTCCTGTTCATCTGTCTTTGCAGTAGCATAGAACCACTTAATGCCTGGTTTTAGTGAGGTTTGCATACGTTTGTAAGACTGATGTTCACAGTAATTAGAAAAAGATTCTGATGGCAGGACGTGGTGATGTGTTTTGTTATTTGGAAGTGACAACTTCTGCTAATTGCCAGCTTCACCTTTTTCCTGTTTGGACAGTTGCTTTAGAGGATTATTGAAGTAAGTAATTGCATATGGACAAGCAAATGGAACGGGAGTTGAAACTTGTCCTGAGTCAGCAATTGCACTGACAGGCAAGCCTGCTTTGTACATCAGTGCACCTCCCTTTGTGAGGACTCCTCGAGGGTCCTGGTGTCATCCCTGCTGTGGAGGTCCAGGGTGGGCACACCTAGGTTCATGCAGCCTTCCCCGGCAGCCCTGGGGTAAAACTAGGCCAAGCTCTCCACGTGTAGGCCAGCACCATCTAATTAGAATGGGGTTTGAGCAACTTTGTCTTCAGTAGTCATGTTAAAACACAAAAACAAAGAGCAAACCCCCACCAAAGAGGTGAGATCACCTTTTTAAAGGACAACCAAATGTGGCCAAGTCAAGATGTCGGGACTCATGAGCTGTTTGACAGTCTTCAGTCTTTGGTATGGGCATCGAGTCTGAGGCCCTGTGTGTTGCACTCTCACATGCCATGCGTGGCTGCTGGACATTCTGATCTGCTTGACCTGTAACACAAGCTACACTTAAAAATGTACTGGCCATACTGTGTGTCAGGTGCTCTGGAGTCCTGCCTTCAGTTCTCCTGACCCTTGTGGTGTTGAAGTCATTCTTCTTTCCTGAAGTTTCCATAGAACAGATGGATCAATTGCTGAGTACCCAGTAGCCACTTTTTCTTTTCTTTTTTTTTTTTTTGGTGGTACTGGAGCTTGAACTCAGGGCCTTCACCTTGAACTATTCCACCAGCCCCCTTTTTTTGTGAAGGGTTTTTTTTTTTTTTTGAGATAGGGTCTCACAAACTGTTTGCCTGGGCTGGCTTCGAACCTGGATCCTCCTGCTCTCTGCCTCCTGAGTAGCTAGGATTATAGGCCTGTGCCACTGGTGCCCGGCTCTAGTAGCTACTTTGACACAGAATTTGCTTTGTTTTAAAATTGTGTCATTCTCTCATACTGTACCCAGTCCTGTACCCAACACAACAATGATTTTCATGCATTCACATTTGGGCCCAGTGATGTACATTTTTGGGAAGTGAAGGTGGTGTCTTTTCAGGGGGTGGTGTTATCTGTACACTGACCATTCACAATGCTAGTTCTCTTAAGGAGTAGTGGCTTGAATGTTCCTTTTCCAGAACCTCATCTGCTCTGAGTGTGGGGATGAGTTTACGCTGCAGAGCCAGCTGGCCATACACATGGAGGAGCACCGACAGGAGCTGGCCGGCACCCGTGTTCACACCTGCAAGGCCTGCAAGGAGGAGTTTGAGACTTCGCCAGAGCTGAAGGAGCACATGAAGACTCACTACAAAGTTAGGTATGGGCTGTCCTTCGAGCTTGCTAAAAACTGTAGGATATGGAAAATTGTCATGCTTTGCTAAGATCAGTTGAAGTATTTGCTGCTTTGGAAAGGAGACAGCAAATTTGAGCACACAGCCCATTTGGTTTGGTGTTAGACCATTGTTCCTAACATGCTTAAGTTCAGGTTTACAAGAGGATGGGTCAGTGCACAGGTTAGTGGAGGTGCCAGGCCATATTGCAGAGGTGTCAGCCAGTGTTACGGAGTGAAAGCACACAGCAGCTTTTACACGATTTGTCTGTCCTGTGTGGCTGGCACTGATCTTAACCTTGTTTGATCATTACAACAACTATTCAGGAAGCATGCTTTTTTGGTGGGACTGAGGTTTGGACTCAGGACTTTGTATTTGCAAAGCAGGCGCTCTTCCACTTGAGCCACACCTCCAGTCCATTTTGCTCTGGTTGTCTTTGGAGATGGAGGGGAGGTCTCACAAACTATTTGTCCAGGCTGGTCTCTAACCGCCTCCCAAGTAGCTAGGATTACAGGCGTGAACTGCCGGCTCCTGGCTCGCAGCGTGCTCTTCCATCCTCATTTTGCAGATGAGAAACCCTTGGTTAGAGACCAAGTAACGCTAAGAGGTTTCGGAGTTAATGAGTTAAACCTTGGCTTAAAAGTCTGGATTTAGAACTCAGAATCTTAACTAATTTTAACTGAGCCTGTGTTTGGATGCATGCATATGTTTACTTCTGGTCAAGCTTAACATTTATTGAGATTTATATTCCTGCTTGCATATTTTGCTGATGTTTTCATGTTTAAATAAAGTGAAGTTCGTCCTGACCCTTGTGCTTAAGCTAATGGTGGTGACTAGTTGTCACACTCACTAAACAGGTTTCTCTAACAGACTGTAAAAGGTAGGATCAAGGACTGTTTTTGCAGTTTAGCTTGCCACTGTTGTAGGTCCTGATGGTTAGAAGTCCATCCACCTACTTGATAAAATTTACGGAAGGTGTGAGCCCTGCAGTGTGTGCTTTTCCTTCTCCACGTGTGGACTGAGCATAGGGCTCGCCACCTCTTGTCCTTCCCTTTCATTTTGCCTATTGCTGATGGATGTGGTACCACCTACTCCTTTGTTGCCATGGCTTTCATATCAAAATATCACACATGTTCTCTATACACCATAGGTTTGAATTTTAATGAGATTTTAGAACTGTCATTTTTATGTTTCTTGGAAGGTTTTGGAGATGACTGGAAATGTTTAGGTGGTCACCGCCCTCATAGACCTGGCTTCTAGGTCTTCCCACATTGAGAGCTGAAGCAAACAAATGAGGATGCATCCTCAGGGAATGGTCATTTGGAGGGAGCAAGTGAATTGGGGAGTCAGGTAAAGATTGAGGGGGATGAGGCAGATTTTTCATGTGCCTTCCTGAGGAGACTTCAGGGAGAGAAGGGGTACACTGAAGCAAGGGCCAGCCAGGCTTGAGAGTAGGCACCTGAGTCCCAGCAGGGGAAGAGTCAGAAAGGAAACCATTATGCCAGGTATGGTGGTAGTCTTAGTACTAAGGAGGCTGAAGGCAGGAGGATTGCAAGTTCTAGGCCAGCCTGAACTAGATAGTGAGATCCCATCTCAAAAAAAAAGAAAAAAGAAAAAGTGGAAAGAGGCTAGAGTGATGAGCACCCCCTGTGGGGGAGAGTGCGAAGGAGGCAGGGACCAGGGCTGTGGGCACAGAGGCTGTCCTGGGACTCTTGCCTTGCGGTGGGCTGTGTGGAGGGTTTGCACAAAAAGGAATGGACTGACCAGACTTGAAGAGGCTAATGTGGCTGTTCTGTCATGGGAGGCAGCAGGGGATCCCTGGGGGCTGTTGCAGTGGTGCTATGGGAGGTGGCTGGTAGCTGGGAGACAAGAATGTATTGAGGTGTTCAGAGAATAGCCAGCCACTTCAGGAGATGGCCCTGAGGAATCTGCTGACCCTGCTGTAAACCTCCTACATGAAGGAAGCAGGTAGGGATGAGGCAGGCTTCTGCCTGGATGTGTCCCATTGGAGCTGCTGGCCGGCCTGGAGTGAGACTAAGTAGACAGTTGGCTGTCTAGACGCGATGGCTGTGGAGGTAGACATCCCCAGATGCTGTGTAAAGCAAGGAGAGTGTGCGGAGCATGGAGTAGTGTTGACATAGCACTTGGACCTGCACAGGTCTCTTGAGTTTGGATTGACAGGTGACGGTCTAGAAGAGACCAAGTTTCCACCCCAGTCTCTGTGTTGTGATCTGGAGAAAGCAAGTGTCTCTTCTTACCAGAAATAGAAGAAATGATTTTTGTGATACTGAGGACTACGCGTGTGTGTGTAGGATACACACAAATGTAAGATTGATTTACTAGTGACCAGTCAGCTAAACTTTCACTTTGAGACTGTACTGTAAGAGACATGACTTAATGAGTGCTTTCTCCCCGGATCTCACTAGGGTGTCAGGTACAAGGTCTTACAATCGGAACATCGACAGAAGTGGGTTCACATACTCCTGTCCACACTGCGGAAAGACGTTTCAGAAGCCCAGTCAGCTAACTCGGCACATAAGGATTCATACAGGTGAGAAAACATTGCCTTTTGTGTGGTTTACGATGTGGCTTGAAGGACAGAAAATGTGCCCTCGTGCTGGGTCAGCTGACCCTGGCTTTTCCAGTTTGCTGTGTAATCTTGGTGAAATTACTGAACCTTTCTGTGATTTCATTTTCTCACTTGAAAAGTGGGAATATTTTGTATTTTTATCGTTGTCCTAAATTAAAAATGGAAAAATACACATAGTGTTCACAGAAAACTGCCTCATTTATAGTGGGATCTCAGTTGTGGGGAGTGCCCTTTTCAGATGTCATTTTCGATAGGTTTGATATCTGCTCCTTTTGGATTTTTTTCTGCATATCCATAAATACACATGTTCTGAGTACCCTCACATACCCAGAGCTACATGAACATGCCATGTTACACATCTTCGTGTATTTTGGGATTCACCTCATGTATTATTCCTGGGGTTGACTTTGTGAACATATGTCATTCTGGCTGGCCTCTGAGCCAGCATGGAATCCTGGGAAATATGGCTTGCCCCAGCCCCAGCAGACTCACACTAGCTGGCAGCTTTGAACACTGGGCAGGCTGATCCTGGAGGGAGGTGGCAGCTGCTGTTGTTTGCTTAACCCTGTTCAAAGAAGCAGGGATGTTACTGTCTAACCTAACTACTGTTAAGGAGTAAACTTTAAGGACTAGACAGTCAGCCAGCTTGCTGTTAGGTTTCAGCCTTCTAACCTGATTGCTGTCTCTCTCTGCTTATTGTTTCATTCGCAAATGAGTACTTACTGATTGAATGCTAATGTGTGTGAGGCATTGATGCAGGTATTGAAGTTAGAGTCATGCACAGAACAGTTGAAACCTCTCTGTCTTGGAGCATTGTATTATAGTGAGGAAAGATGGCTACTGAATAAACTGTGAAAAGTCACTGACGATGGGACAGAGAAGATGAAGCAGAGAAGGCAGGGGTGTGGGGGGCGATTACAGGATGGACACAGGACATTCTGACATCGGCTAGGATTGATTGGAAAGTCATTCCTGAGCAGGCGGTCTTGCACCAGGGCTGGAAGAACAGGAGAAGCGAGCCTTGTGGTCCTCTGGGAGGTCGGTCCAGGCAGAGGTCTCCAAGGCCCAGAGGTAGAGCTGCCTGCTGTGCTGGGGGAGCAGTGGGAGATGAGATGGAGAGCAGGGGTATGCGAGGTGCTAGGGGACAAGCTGAGGGCTATTGGGAGGCCTTGGAGGGTCTTGAGCAGAAACGACCTTCTCTGAGCTTGATTGGGAAGAGCCTCTCCCTTCTGTGGGCTGAGAGCAGCACAGGCGGGTGGGTGGAAGTGGGGCTGTTGGTGAGAGTTGTTAGGATGCGGCTGTGCTCAGGTCTCATGGTAATGGTGGACAGGGAGCAGGGCCTCGCTGGGGGTTTCGAAGGTAGAACCAGTGGGTTTGCTGGTATATGAAGTGGGCTGAGAGAAACCACAGTGGCTGGACTCCAGAAGGTCGGCACTGGCAGGGAGGCTGCCCTGGGGCTTGGTTGAGAGATGGCTTGCAGCAGGTTAACGTTGAGATTTTGAGTAGACGGTTTTATATCTGAGTGTAGAATTGCCAGGAGATGTTCTAGCTGGAGGCCTAGGTTTGGATTACTTTCAGAGTTTTCTTTTTCCTCCTAAGATGCTCATTTTCTCTCTAGGTGAAAGACCCTTCAAATGCAGTGAATGTGGAAAAGCTTTTAACCAGAAGGGGGCGCTGCAGACCCACATGATTAAGCACACAGGCGAAAAGCCCCACGCCTGTGCCTTTTGTCCTGCTGCCTTCTCCCAGAAAGGGAACCTCCAGTCCCATGTTCAGAGAGTCCATTCGGAGGTGAGCGTACGTCTCCTGGTGTGTGGTGGATATCTCTCCAGTTAATGGCAGGCCTGAGAGGTTGAGTTTGTACAGAGTAACCTGTGTTAGCAAAAAAAAAAAAAAAAAATTATACACCACAACACACATGTACACACACACACACACACACACACACACACAGGAGCGCTTTTGGTTTATTACATATGGAAGAAATATGAAATACTGTTTCTTACTTTGAATAGATACATCAAATAATTATAATGCTTTTGTTAGCTGTGATCCATTAACCAGAGTAATATATCTCATCCTATCACAAACTTGAAATACAGACACTGTCAAGTGTAAGAAGTTGAAAGACAAGAAGATTGTGAGAAAAACAAGCACTGTTATCACTGTGACACCTCTGAACTCACTGTGGGCCTGGGCCCCCAGGGCCCTGGGCTCGGGCCTTGCTGCATGCTGCAGCCCAGAAAATGTCAGCGTTCGTCTCTCGGTGGGTCATACTGATAACCTGGATCCTCTGGAAATATGTTCTTGTTCTTACTCATTACTACGACTTGGCATCTTAAGTATGGCCTCATTTTGGAATACAAAGTGTTGAAGCATGGATCAGGTCATTCTGTGAAACCATTTTGTATAGTGAAAAGCAAGTGTGTGTACCATGTGTCTTTTAAAATTTTCCATGGAGTTAAACCTTGAATATCACTTTGGTGACCTGGGAGTTAATAAAACTTAATAAAAGCTAGATGTGGTGTTACATGCGTGTAATGCCAGCACTTGGGAGGCTGAATCATGATTTCAAGCCCAGTAGCTCAGGCTACTTAACGAAACAAAGGTAGAGCTTGTTTTTGATCTTAGAAAAGCAGGATAAAATCTCAAATGAAGAAAAGCAATCTAAAGTGAAAAACTACATATTCACATAGTTTTATGAACAGATTCAGAATTCTATCCACAGCAAGTTCTTTTTAAAAACCCTTATTATCTAAGACACAGAGACGGCAAGAAGGGCCTATACACACTGATAAGGGCTGAGTTTGTGAAGTGCACGTGTGGAATTGTCTCTGAGAACAGGTAATGGTGCAGGAACACCCGTGATGTTTTGTAGCAAGGATGGCCCTGTGAAGCATTGGTCAGGGCCCGGCATCTGGAGGACCTGCAGCATACTCTGCCATCGATATCCTGGGACTTTGCCAGGTTGGATGGCTCTGGAAAGGGCCTCTAGAGATTGGTTTGTAAAATACCGCCCAATTCTGTGAGGCATCCAGAACCCTCAGTGTGGTTCTTAATGAGGCGCTAGAAATAGAAGGGAAGTCTTACTGTAGTTCAGAGAGGACTGGTGAGTTTTCAAGTCAACCTTCATAATTGTGTTGTAGCTAATGCTGGGTGTGAATGAAAGTGAGAGGAGGTTTGCGTGCCTCTGCCGACTGGTGTCCTTACGTATGTTTCTGTTCTCTACAGTTTAGCCATTAGTCATTGATAAGGGGCACTGAAACTGGTGATAAAGAATTGCCTCACTGTATGACCATCCTTCCTAACCTGCGTGCTAGAACCCAACATTTATTTTTCAGAGCAGTGATTGCATGTGTCTAGTCTTCATTGTCGAAGCCATTGCAGAAGCTGAGGACGTATGTCAGACATAGTTTTTATTAAATTCCAATAACTGAAAAGTGTGTCTCTTCATTCCCGAGGCACTTCTCACTTACAGAATGACTGAAGTTTCACTTAAGTTCATGCTCGTAATATGGACTAATGAGCTGGGTCGTTGTTTCTAGATCTATCTAATTTAAAGGAGAAAAGTCATTCCATTTTGAATGGAATGGTACATTATGATTGGCTGTAGTTTAAGTGTTTATCTAATAATTCAGGGTAAGAACTACTGTTTTCTGTTTACTCTGTCAGGTTAAGAGCGGGCCTACCTATAACTGCACAGAATGCAGCTGTGTGTTTAAGAGCTTAGGCAGCTTGAACACCCACATCAGCAAGATGCACATGGGGGGGCCCCCGGGTGCTACAAGCTCTGCAGAGACTGCACACGTCCTAACGGTAAGTTAGGATTTGCTTTATAGAAGGGCGTCTTTACTGTGGTCTGTGTTCTTAAATATAACTTTAAAAATTGAATATTCAGTACCAAAAAAGTGCTATGAAAGGAAGTTTCCTGTGTGGTGATAAGGTGCTGTTGTTTTTGATTGGTGAAAGAAAGTCAGTCTTTTCAAACTGTAGGATATAGTCAATGATCGTGATTTGTGGACTATCATCTGAACATATAAAAATAAGACAAAATCTCATCATTAATTCATGGAATTGTAACTCCTACAGACATCGTTACTGATGATTGTGGAATATTCTCTGTAATTCAAGAATCTACTTTGTAGGTAATAATTCCTTTTTCATGTGACAGCATTTATTTTTCCCAAGTCTTTTGACTTTCAGGATACTAAATTCTATTTCCCGGTGCATGCATTCAGAAATTGTGTGACTAAGCACACACATGCACACACACAGACCTGTGACTCCGTGAAACATAGGCTCACACAGAAGAATAGCCACACAGAGATGCACACACACTCACTTTTCCTAGGATTTTATAGATGAGCCTTAATAACTTCTACACTACCCTCTCTTTTTTGGGGAAGGGGGGGCAGTACTGGGGTTTGAACTCAAGACCTCCTTATACTTGCTGGGTGGGTACTGTACCACTCGAGCCACTCTATCCCTTATGCCACCCTCTCAGTTGATAATAAATGACAAGATCTAATCCTAGAATGCAGTGTCATGAGAGTAGCAGAGCCTCACTCAGTACAACAGTTCCCGCAGTGTCAGTGGACGCCTGTGATCGTTAGTGAGTGCCAGTTTGTATTACAGCTGCTGTCCACTATGCAAGACAGACCTGACCATTCCGGATTTCTAAACACGAGGCTCATTCTCAGCTTCCTGTTTCCTTTTCTCACAGTTTTGCACTTTGGGATGATTCCTCACTTTATTTTTTTCACAGTAAGGGGATTGAACTCAGAGCTTTGCGCTTGCAAGGCAGGTGCTCTACCACTTGAGCCACACCCCAACCCCTCAGTTTATTCTTGATAAGGAAGAATGTTGTAAAACTGAAAATAATGGAGTATAATAACCAAGTTGGGCTTAATTGTTTAGAAAGTAATTATTTCTGTGTGTAATCAACCAGATATTGCAGCTTTCATCATGTTTACTTGGCAATATGCAAAACACAAAAGGTAGGTGTAGCGAGTAACCTGCGGTAATAATATAATGCAGGCCATTTTTAAAGTTTACATTCTCGGAAAGTTCCTCAACATTATAAAAGCTATATATGACAAACCTACAGCCAGCATTATACTTAAAGGAGAAAAACTGAACCCATTCCCTCTAAAATCAGGAACCAGACAAGGATGCCCACTATCTCCACTCCTATTCAACATAGTACTGGAATTCCTAGCCAGAGCAATTAGGCAGGAAGAAGGAATAAAAGGAATACAAATAGGTAAAGAAACTGTCAAAATATCCCTATTTGCAGACGACATGATCCTATACCTTAAAGACCCAAAAAACTCTACTCAGAAGCTTCTAGACATCATCAATAGCTACAGCAAGGTAGCAGGATATAAAATCAACATAGAAAAATCATTAGCATTTCTATACACTAACAATGAGCAAATGGAAAAAGAATGTATGAAAACAATTCCATTTACAATAGCCTCAAAAAAAATCAAATACCTAGGTGTAAACCTAACAAAAATGTGAAAGACCTCTACAAGGAAAACTATACACTTCTGAAGAAAGAGATTGAGGAAGACTATAGAAAGTGGAGAGATCTCCCATGCTCATGGATTGGTAGAATCAACATAGTAAAAATGTCGATACTCCCAAAAGTAATCTACATGTTTAATGCAATTCCCATCAAAATTCCAATGACATTCATTAAAGAGATTGAAAAGTCTACTGTTAAATTTATATGGAAACACAAGAGGCCACGAATAGCCAAGGCAATACTCAGTCAAAAGAACAATGCAGGAGGTATCACAATACCTGACTTCAAACTATATTACAAAGCAATAACAATAAAAACAGCATGGTACTGGCACAAAAACAGACATGAAGACCAGTGGAACAGAATAGAGGACCCAGATATGAAGCCACACAACTATAAGCAACTTATCTTTGACAAAGGAGCTAAAAATATACAATGGAGAAATAGCAGCCTCTTCAACAAAAACTGCTGGGAAAACTGGTTAGCAGTCTGCAAAAAACTGAAACTAGATCCACGTATATCACCCTATACCAAGATTAACTCAAAATGGATCAAGGATCTTAATATCAGACCCCAAACTCTTAAGTTGATACAGGAAAGAGTAGGAAATACTCTGGAGTTAGTAGGTATAGGTAAGAACTTTCTCAATGAAACCCCAGCAGCACAGCAACTAAGAGATAGCATAGATAAATGGGACCTCATAAGCTAAAAAGCTTCTGTTCATCAAAAGAAATGGTCTCTAAACTGAAGAGAACACCCACAGAGTGGGAGAAAATATTTGCCAACTATACATCAGACAAAGGACTGATAACCAGAATATATAGGGAACTTAAAAACTAAATTCTCCAAAACTAATGAACCAATAAAGAAATGGGCAAGTGAACTAAACAGAACTTTCTCAAAAGAAGAAATTCAAATGGCCAGAAAACACATGAAAAAATGCTCACCATCTCTAGCAATAAAGGAAATGCAAATTAAAACCACGCTAAGATTCCACCTCACCCCTGTTAGAATAGCCATCATCAGCAACACCACCAACAACAGGTGTTGGCGAGGATGTGGGGAAAAAGGAACCCTCTTACACTGTTGGTGGGAATGTAGACTAGTACAACCACTCTGGAAAAAAATTTGGAGGCTACTTAAAAAGTTAGACATTGATCTACCATTTGATCCAGCAATACCACTCTTGGGGATATACCCAAAAGACTGTGACACAGGTTACTCCAGAGGCACCTGCACACCCATGTTTATTGCAGCACTATTCACAATAGCCAAGTTATGGAAACAGCCAAGATGCCCCCACTGACGAATGGATTAAGAAAATGTGGTATCTATACACAATGGAATTCTATGCAGCCATGAAGAAGAACGAAATGTTATCATTCGCTGGTACATGGATGGAATTGGAGAACATCATTCTGAGTGAGGTTAGCCTGGCCCAAAAGACCAAAAATCGTATGTTCTCCCTCATATGTGGACATTAGATCAAGGGCAAACACAACAAGGGGACTGGACTATGAGCACATGATAAAAGTGAGAGCACACAAGGAAGGGGTGAGGATAGGTAAGACACCTAAAAAACTAGCTAGCATTTGTTGCCCTCAACGCAGAGAAACTAAAGCAGATACCTTAAAAGCAACTGAGGCCAATAGGAAAAGGGGAACAGGTACTAGAGAAAAGGTTAGATCAAAAAGAATTAACCTGGAAGGTAACACCCACGCACAGGAAATCAATGTGAGTCAATGCCCTGTATAGCTATCCTTATCTCAACCAGCAAAAACCCTTGTTCCTTCCTATTATGGCTTATACTCTTTCTACAACAAAATTAGAAATAGGGCAAAATAGTTTCTGCTGGGTATAGAGGGAGGGGGAGAGGGAGGGGGCGGAGTGGGTGGTAAGGGAGGGGGTGGGGGCAGGGGGGGAGAAATGAACCAAGCCTTGTATGCACATATGAATAATAAAAGAAAAAGAAAAAAAAAAAAAGAAAATCTAAAGTTCAGCAGTTCCAATCCCCTGCATAGGAAGATATTGTGAGCAGTAATCAAGTAAGAAGAATAAAAAGTGTGTTTTGAAGGTGAAAAAAAAAATAAAGTTTACATTCTCAAGGAAAGAGCAGGAAGTGTGGTACGTGGATCCTGTACGTACCACCTGTGCTCCCACTGGATACATCTGAGCATCTGTTCTTTTTCGGGACTGCTTAGGAAATAGTGTTCTGCCTCAAGACTGATTCTACATGTCTCTTACTTTGCTTTCCACATTTTCTAACTTTGGCGTTTTTACTCTGGTTTTGAGAGGTTCCTTCAGCTTTATCCTAGGCTTCTTTTTAAATTATTTCTTCTATAGTAAGATATTTCATTTACTAGCTCTGAGGTGCTGGTATCAAACTCAGGACTTTGGACATATTAGGTAATCACTCCCCACTGAGCCACACCTCTGTCCTTCGATCCTAATTGTTTCTTTTTTAAGACTGTTTTCCTGCTCTGAAATCCAGTTAGCATTTTCTTGTTAGGAGCTTTCTGCTCATTTTGGTATCTGTCTTGAGTCAGCTTCTCTGCCTGTCCCTCCTCCTTCCCATGTCTCCTCGTCTTTGGTTGTCTGTGTTTCAGAAGACACAGCAATGAGTCTCTGTGCATGAGTTTTCATCTGGTCAGGGACCACTTTGCAGGGAATCCACTCTTAAACTTGGTGGCAGAAGGTGGCTCATTTCTCTCTGGATAGCATATTCTTTTTATCTTGATTGAGGTAGGCTCTTGTTTTATGCCTTGCATTCCTCAAGGAACCTCAAGGTGTGCCTTAAGGTGAAGGGGTGCGGGTCTTTCCTTCTTTGTATTTTTTTAATAAACAGTCTTTATTTTTAGAACAGTTTCAGGTGTAAAGAAAATCTGAGCAGAAAGTACAGGGACTTCCTCTATCCTCCCCACCACGAGTTTCCCCTGTTGTTAACACCTTGATTGGTGTGATTCGTTTGTTGTAATTGGCGAAGGTGTGTGGATGTACTATTAACTGAAGGCTATAGTTTCTATGTGGCTCAGCCTTGGTCTTGTGCCCACCCTGGCAACAGCAGTCCCAGTATGTGCTGTCCCTCACTGCTTTTGGACATGCGCTCCAGTTCCTGGTCTTCTGCAGGAATCCGATCAGCTCCCTCTTAGGCACAGCCCTCATACTGGACTTTTTTTTTGTGGTGGTACGGGAATTTTGAACTCCGGGCCTCAAGCTTGCTAGGCAGGCACTCTACCACTTGAGGCCACCCCAGCTGTTTTTTTTGTTGGGTATTTTTGAGATAGAGTTGTATGAACTATTTGCCTGGGCTGGCTTTGAACTGTGATCTTCCTGAGAAGATCCTAAGATCACTGTCTCCTGAGTAGCTAGGATTACAGAGTCACTGGTACCCGGCTGTGGACTTTCTTGGGTATACACAGCATTTATTCCTCAAATCCCTCTCTCTTTCTCTCTCTCTCTCTTTTTTTTTAACCACCCTGGCTTTTTTGTTTGCTTCTTTCTTTTTTTCTTACCTTTATGCTTTTAAAATGTACTCACTTCATTTTAGTGGGCTACCATGAAGAAGAGGATTATTATGTTTCCAGTCTGCTTACTTGAATTGATAGTCTATATCCCTACATAAAACTTGTAGAAAGCCGAAGAACAGTTCACTAAGTGTGTTCTTTTAAGTGCCAGTGTTAGGCCTAACTCAAGAGTCATTGAAGCAGTGCACTTAAATTTCTCAGTGTTAGGATTCTGGTAGATTTTAGTGCTCTAACCTAGACATTGCCTGCTTGCTTTTTTGTTAAAATTGAAAGTAGTATTTGTAATGAAAATGTTGCTGTGTTCCAGGCCACGCTCTTTCAGACTTTGCCTCTGCAGCAGGGAGAAACCCAGGTCTCCTCTGCTTCCAGCCAGCAGAATTCTCAGACGGTGACTGACGTCATTCAGCAGCTCCTGGGGCTGTCTGAGCCGGGGACAGTGGAGGCGCGCCAGTCTCCGCAGCCTGGGCAGCAGCTGAGCATCGCGGTGGGCATCAACCAGGACATCCTACAGGTGAAGCACGCTTGCCTGCTGCTGTGAGGCTTTCACATGTAGGCTGCCAAGCCAGGGCTGTACGACAAGTAGATATGCATGGCACATCTGCACTGATAAAGATTCTACCAGCACAAAACACACCCTGCTTAATTTCCTATGGGCAGTGCAGAAGTCTAAATAATTCATGAATCTGTTCATTGAAAAATAAAAATCCTCTTTGTATTCTGTAAGTGACTTGATTTGAAGAGTAGACTTTTAGAACTTGTCCGTGTCTGTCCCTGCTGAGTCCTGAGTTCTGTTGTGCTGTTTGGAGACAGTCATAGGTGTTTATACTGTAGGGAGGGCCAGGCTGGCCTGTCCGTGGCTTATATGCTGCTGGTCTGTGTGTGGCCCCGGCACACACAGGAGAGGAGAAGGAAGGAGCCAGGAACACCTTCCCATACTCCACTCTACCCAGGCCCACACACTCACAGTCTTCACTGTCACAGAGGTGGCCCTCCTTTTCTTTGTGTCTTTTTACACCAACCCCTAGTACCTCATGCGGAGAAGTTCGCCAGGGGTGTAAGGAACTCAAGGTGTCACACTGCAGCCAGTGTCTTAAAGGTACACCCAGGGTAACTTACACCCTGAGATAGAGTCCCAAATCTGTTCAGAGACAGACCAAGTTGTCTGAGGTAAGATTTCTGAAAGTCCATAAGTTTTAATCCCTTTAGTTAGAAACCGCTGATCATACCATATTTTGTGTGGGGGTAAGATGTCAGATAATCAGAAGGGATGTCACAGCCTCCCAGAGTTGGACACCTCTCTGACAAACAATTGCTTGGAGCTGTAGAGTGTATTTCTTGGAGTGGAGTCAGTTGTGTGGGTGAAGCTTTGTGGCATCTTGTGATAGATTTTGGCAGGCAGATCTGGGCCGTTGCCTCTTCTAACCTTTTAGTTTTGTTCTGTCTCAGCAAGCCTTAGAAAACAGTGGGCTGTCTTCACTTCCAGTTGCAGCACCTCCCAGCGACTGCAGCCACACCCAGACGTCCGCAGCACCACCTCGGAGTCCACCTGCCCCCAGTGTCTCCGCTGAGCAAGCGGACCCCACGGACGCCGGGCAGGAAAAGGGGCAGGAAAGCCCTGAGAAGTCAGATAAGAAAGAGAAAAAAGTTATGAAGAAGAAATCGCCCTTTCTACCTGGTAACTTGGTGTGCTGTGCCCTTCAGACATTTCAGACAGTGAGCATTTGCTTGTGCTTAGGAAACAGATGGATCCCCTGCTCTTTCTGAAGGTGACCTGTTTGCCATACGTGTGTTGGGGTGAAACACATCTTCTCTCAGTGGGCTTCTTTCCTGTGGCCAGCTTCTTGGTTGGTCTGCAGGCTTCCTCCCCCAACTCTTTGCCATCTCTGCTGGGTCTGGGTGTCCCTGCGGCTTTAGTCCCATCACTTTTCCAGCTCTTGGCTCATTGTCTCTCGCCTGTGGTTCCATCGTCCAGTCCCCCAGCCTCCTTCCTGGGTGCTACCACTTGGCGATGCCCAGGTGCACTCCACCTGAGTCCCTGTGCTGCCCATTCTGTGCCAATCTCCACTTCTTGGCCTGTGCTCCAGGTGTCCCACCATCCTTTGGATGGAGTGTTACTTTATGGTAAAGGTGCATTCCCAAACACAGTGTTTCTGAGGCTTTTCCTACCAAGAGTGCTTTCTTCCTCACCCCTCTGTCCTTTCTCTGTCAAAACTTTCCCCATTTCTCAAGGCTGGCATAAGTGCTGCCGCAGTGTGAAGAGTCCTGGGCTGGCCTGACTCACACGGCATGCGTGCATGTGCTCCTCCGCTGGGTGGATGGCAGGTACATATGATCCTGTCCTTTTCAGGAGAGAGCCAGAAGGGCCTGACCTGGTGTGCATCTGCTCTTTTCTGACTCTCGGGCTCAGTGTGGCTCTTATTTAGCAGCGGGCACTTACCAAGAGAGTCCTGTCTTAGGCAGACAGCTCCTGTACCAATACAGATCTATTCTGGCCGGGGAGCAGTGCTTTCTGGCTGCAAGGGTTGGAGTAGCGTTGCCTTCTGCTGAGGATGTGAGACTGAATGCCCTGGACTCTCAACCACATTCCACATTGTAGCCCCAGTCCTGTTCCCCACAGGAGGAACAGGACAGTAGAGTCGGAGCCCTTCAACCTCAGGGTTTCCTGGTCTCAAGGGGGGCAGAAGGGAAAAAGCCATTTTCACATACTGTGATGAGTGGCCTCCTAGCCCAAGAGGTTACAGGTGTTGTGTATTCCCACAACACACAGCCCTGTGAACCCTCTTGCCTACTTGAGTTCAATTAAAGACGCCTCACCTGGCTGCAGGGACCGAGCAAGGCGCCGTCTTTCTGCACCACGTGATCGTCATCATTTGCGAGTAACCGCTCTGCCTCTTTGTCTCTTTCACACTGTCATCTAATTGCATCGATTAGTATCACTGGAGCACTATGAGGGCATCTTTCCTAGTGGACTTTTCACTTGGCTTTTGTAAGGTTGCATGTACATTTTCTCTTGAGTGCTGCTTCAGTGTTCATTCACTCCCTGTTTTTAGACCTCTTTCATTTACAGTGAAGCTTTAGCTTGCTGCAGGTCTGCTTTTTACATCTTTTTGTTTGTCACAGTCAGAGTCTAGATTCAGTTGTGTGTGTGTGTGTGTGTGTGTGTGTGTGTGTGTGGTACTGGGGTTTGAACTCAGGGCCTACACCTTAAATCACTCTACCAGCCCTTTTCTATGATGGGTTTTTTCTTGTGAACTGTTTGCCCAGGCTGGCTTTGAACAGCGATTCTCCTGATGTCTGCCTCCTGAGTAGCTAGGATTGCAGGTGTGAGCCACCAGTGCCCAGCTTTAGTTTTTATTTATTGCAAACACATGCAGGTCACATTTTGAGACAGCCTCAGGGCTGCTAGTTTGGGGTCTCTTTTACAGTTGATTCCCTGAAATTAGAACTGAGTTTAAACTATGTCAACCTATATAATTAGAGTTATATTTTCATGTTTGTTTAGAAAAAAATCTGGTTTCTAGGGATGATTTCCTAATTTTAGCTAGAGGATAAAGAACTCAGAGCCTCGAGCTTTCTAGGCAGGTGCTGTATCCCTTGAGCCATGCCTCTATCCCTTTTTGCTTTTAGTTATTTTTCTGCTAGGGTCTTACATTTTTGTCCGGGGCTGGCCTGAACTGGCATCCTCCTGTCTGCTTTCTGCTTAGCTTGGATCACAGGCCATCACACCTGGCTCCCTTGTTAATGGGGTGTCATTAACTTTTCGGCTGAGTTGATCTCAAACTCTGATCCTCCGAATCTCCACCGCCTAAGTAGCTGGGTTTGTTGGTGTACACTACTACACTTGGCTCTATTTCACTTTTGTCTTTCTTTTCTAAACCTAAGTCCCTTGTTTAGGTGATTTGCTCTAACAAAAAGCATTGTTAAGGAAAGTACATTTTCTCTTTTTACAGATTGGGAAATTCTTTGTATTTTCTGATAACAAAGATAAGGAGACAAGATTTTCTTTTATCTAAAAAAAAACATGCAGTACAGACATTGTTAAATAAATTTGGGTTGAAATTTTCTGGTGAATTACATCAACATGGACAAAATCTCTGATTTTAGATGAATTAGATACCTAAATTATATTATCCCTGTAATTATCATAGATACCCCTTTAATTTCAGAGGATTATATCTAATCAAAACTTAAAAATGAAAAGTGATTTTGCTGAATTTTATTTAAAGTGTTTTGATGTTAGAATCATTCTGCTTATTTCTATAAATTTTACTTGTGATTTTTCTTCTGTTAGGATTAATTTTAAACTAGATTCAGAGTTCAATAACATTATTGTTGCAAAAAGACAATCTTTTACATTTGGACACAAAATCCCTAGTGTTACGTACACTTTTTATTTGTCTTAAGTTCTTGTAAGTTTTGTTCCAGCACAGGAGCTCTGCCATTCCTCATTACTTGTATTTGCATTCCTTTCCTTTCTTCCCATATCATCATTGTCCTGGGGTACATTGTGAGATTTACAAGAGTTCTTACACTGTATCATAGTTGAATTCACCTCTCCATCCTTCTCTTCCTCCCCTCATTCCTGGAACAGCTTCAACAGGTCTCATTTTTTCCATTTTCATACATGAGTGTATAACATTTTCACCATATTCACCTACTCACCCTTTCCTTGTATTTTGTGTTTCTTTTCTCTGATATTAGATACACTCAGTGAATACTGAAACCTCAGCCTCCTCTTGTTGTTGGTTGCTCATGAAGTCACTTAATCACATCTACCTTTCTGTCATTCGGAGTGACCTGATTCTGTCCTTTGGGCTCTGAGTTAGGTGCTGTTGCCTTCTTAGCTCTTGTCTTAGAGACTACGGAGCTTGTAGGGCTTTGTTCAAAATCAAACAGTCTTTTGAGACTTTGAGTGAGCGTGGGTTCCATCTCTCTGTGGCTGACCATGTCTCCTGCGGCAGAGAGTGCATAGCTTCGTGCTGCCTTTGTCCCCGGAAGGACCCTGCAGGGCCTTGTGCTGCAGTTTCTAGGCTGGGCTGGACTGTTCTTTCCTTGTCACTCCAGGCTCCGTCCGTGAGGAGAACGGGGTGCGGTGGCACGTGTGTCCTTACTGCACCAAGGAGTTCCGGAAGCCCAGTGACCTTGTGCGTCACATCCGCATCCACACGCACGAGAAACCCTTCAAGTGTCCGCAGTGTTTTCGGGCCTTTGCTGTGAAGAGCACTCTGACAGCTCACATCAAAACCCACACTGGCATCAAGGCCTTCAAGTGCCAGTGCTGCATGAAGAGCTTCTCCACCTCAGGGAGCCTCAAGGTGCACATCCGCCTGCACACAGGTGCGCCGGCTGGGCGTCGGGGAGGGCTGTTGGTCTGTCTCCCTCCCTCCCTCCCTCCCTCCCTCCCTCCTTTCCCCTTTCTTTTTAGCCCAGGTTGGCTTCCATGGTGAGATCCTCCTGCCTCAGCCTCCTGAATGCTGGAACTACAGGTGTGCATCATCACACCTGCTTCGTTTTTCTTTTTTTTAAGTGGTATTTATTGATTTGTCACCCTGGTACTCATAGAGCCAACTGGTATGATAGGGGTGATTGGGGAAGCACTAGTTTTTTTTGGCAGTACTGGAGTTTGAACTCAGGACCTTATGGCATGCTAGGCAGGTGCTCTACCACTTGAGCCATTCCCCTAGCCCTGTTTTGCGATGGTTTCTTTTTGAGATAGAGTCTCACTAACTATTTGCCAGGCTGGCTTTGAACTGTGATCCTCCTGATGTCTGCCTCCTGAGTAGCTAGGATTGTAGGTGTGAGCCACTGGTGACAGCAAAGTAATTTTCTTCTTTCTTTTTCTTTTTTTTTTTTTTTGTGGTGTTGGGGTTTGAATGCAGGGCCTTACGCTTGCTAGGCAGGTGCTCTACCACTTGAGGCCCATCTCCAGCCCTGGCAAATAATATTTATAAATGAGCATATAATCTCAAAGGGTGAAGAGACTGTAGGCAGGAGTGTATACTCAGCTTAGACCAATGACCCTTCTACAACCCAAGGGCTGACCCACCTGCAGGTGTCAGCCGAGGCAGGTGTGGACCTGGCACCCTTGGGCTGAGCCTCACTGCACTGAGGCTTTGAGCAGGGAGGGTGACCTGCATGCTGCCCTGCCATCCAGAATCTGCTCTAGCCACTATTCAGGCATGAAGCTGTTCCACACCTTTTTATTTTTATTTTTTTCCATGTTTTTTTAAATAGCTTTATTGAGATACAGTTCACATATCATAAAATTCTTGAAGTGTACAGCTCGGAATTATGCACTCCACACCACTGCCTACTTGAGACATTTTAATCACTCTCCAAAAATCTCTGTACGCATGGGCACTATCGCTTCGTTGACCTCAGGGCTCCCTGCTGGACTGAGTGTGTGTGTGAACATCTGTCAGGCTAACATCAGCCAGTTTCATTATGTGCCCGTCCCTGGACTCTGTACTGTCAGTCATTTAAGAGGAACAGTTTATGAGGAGACTCCTGTGGAAAAGGGGCCCAGTAGAGGATACTATGGTTGTCGTCAGTATCGTGGCAGTCAGGGCTGGCTTTGCTCACTGCATGTTTTTGAGGTGTCAGGTGTGCTTACGCATTAGTCTGGGTGCCCCAGCAATGGCCACAGAGGGCTGTTGTCCTCCCAGGTTCATGAGTGTCACCTGGCAGAGAGAGCTGTCTTGCAGTTCTTAAGGATGACTAGTTGTTTGAAGATCTGTATTTTACAACTTTAGGCTTTGTTCTATAATTAGTAAATGTTGCTCTAACTTCTACAGTATGTGCTGTTTGAAAACAAAGGGGAATATCTAATCCACAACACTTATAAACATGGAGTCACAAATTGAATATTCAGTCAGTATTGAAAATGCTAACATTGTATGTTGACATTTGTTCTTGAGGTGTAAATCCTTGAAAGAAGTCTAAAATGTGCTTTTCTTTTTATTAGGAGTTAGACCATTTGCTTGTCCACACTGTGACAAAAAGTTCCGAACCTCAGGCCATAGAAAGACTCACGTAGCTTCCCACTTTAAACATACGGAGTTGAGGAAGATGAGGCACCAGCGCAAACCCGCTAAGGTCCGTGTCGGCAAGACCAGTGTTCCAGTACCCGACATTCCTTTGCAAGAGCCCATTCTTATAACGGACCTAGGTAAGATGGAGCGTCCTGTATTGTTGAGGCTTGAGTGTTCCTTCCTTCAGTACCTTGATGTGTGTGCATTTTGGTGTAGGCAATTGAGTGGTCTTAGTATAGTCTTAATGAATTCTGCTATAAGTGTTGCTTTGCTTGTGGACTGTGTATTTCACAATCAAGATTAAAATGTGAAGTCTCACTCACATTGTGTCTGTGGTTCATAGGGAAAGTGTGTAAGGGGAGGTGGTTGTGCGTAAGTTCTCATGACGGAAGTGCTTCTGCCTCAGTGGGACATCAGTGTGAAGAAGGGACTTGTTTTGTCTTTGAATCCCCGTGGAGTGTGTAAGAAGTTACTATTTAGGTTGATTTAATCTTTACATGGCAAAGAAAAAGAAAAACCTGCTTGCTTCTAATTTGCCTTTAGGCTTTGTGATGCTGCTATAATTGAGCCAAACTATGATTTTGTTGGCTAACCAGAAAGAGAACTCTGTTTGCTAGAATCTTCAGAAAAAATGGTCTGTGAGTACTGAACAAAGAAGAAGAATCCTTGTTGTAGTCCAGTTGAGCTGCTGTAAACAAGAACAGCTTAAATTAAAAAAAAAAGAATAGTTCAAACTGGTAGCTTGTAAGTAATAGAAATTTATTTCTCTTAGTTCTAGAGGCTGGAGCCCAGGTCAGGGTACTGGCAGGTTCAGTGTCTGGTGACCCTCTTCTCCATGGCACCAGTGACTCTCCAGGGACTCTTTTTACAAGGGCACTAATCCCATTTATGAGGGCTGTACCCTCAAGACCCAATCATCTCCAAAGGCCACGTCCCATTACTATCACGCGGGGGGTTAAATTTCAACTTACAGTTTTGTGGTGACTCATTCGCTTAACTGCCGCGACAGAAAGCTCTGAACATCAGGCTGTACGAAGAGAAGACTCTATTAGTATGAATTTACATGTGTATGTGTTTCATGTATTATGTAATTTTCCTAGGCATGATCATACAGTGTAAGCAAAATTCATATAAAATATGATTTAACGGAAAACATTAAATGGTCTGTAGAGATATATTTTAGATTGATAAAAGTTACAGACCACCAATACGATCATCGGTACTCCATGAACATTTATACATTGAGAAAATAACCACAAACCATAAACCAGACAATTAGGAAAAATACGCAAATTCTCAAGCATAGAGACCTTCCATTAGCAAGATCAACTTAATAAACACAGTAAAATTAAAGAAGATTTGAGCACATATGAAAAGAGTTTATAATAGCTATAGAATCTTTAACCTTAAAACACAGAAAAATTTCAATAAATTCTGAAAAGTTGATATATAGGATATAATCTTTGATTACAGTTCAGTGAACACATAAATTGTTAAAAATAACCACTCCAAATTTCTGCGTTGAAAGGAAAGACTGAAATTCTCTACTACGAATGAAAGGGGCATCTGAATCGGCTGCATGGACCAAGGCCGTCCTCAAGAAAAATGAAGGTTTTTGAGTTCTTATTAACTCAAAAGCTATGCAGATGGAAAAAGCAGAAAGGAATTACTATGTATAAAATTATTTAAGATAGATAAATTGGTAATTGTACAAAACCTGAAAATGAATAGATGACTTGTTATTAATAAATGTTAAAATGAGAAAATGGGGAATGAGAAAAAAAAACTAAGCAAACGAAGTGAAAAGTATTTGCAAATACTCTACAATTAGTTGGTAAAACATTTGAAAATTTAGATGAAATGATTCCTTTCCCAGATAGATAGCATATTACCAAAATCGATGTTAGAAAACATGGAAAAATCCAGAAACACACAACAAATGAGCATAGTAGGCAGTGATTGATGACTCTGTGAATTCTGTCAGGCTCCCTGGGACACATAGCTGTCATGGCATCTGATTGTTTCAGAGTGCAGAGAACACTCCTTATCTCTGTGAATCTGGAATGCTTTGTTTTCTTTCTGCAGTTTTGATAGCTTATAAAACAGTGGACTGCTCTCTCTCTTTCAGGTTGTTTGAAATCAAACTAAACACCTTTGTGTTTCTTAACTTCAAGTTTATGATCCTTTGGTTGAATTGTATTAGAGTCCTAATTCTGCAGGACTTTTCTGAGTGAATAACAATGCAACATTTTGCTCATTGGCTTTACAGATGCCTGAATCTCAGACCAAATTAGTGGTAGCTGAATTCTCCTTTGGTCAAGGCTGAGTGATACCTGAGGGAAACAATCCCTGGATGTAGTGTCACACTGTAAAATGTCACTTAGTCTCATTATTATTTACATGTATGTCCATGTCTTTGACATTGAGCTTCCTGGGTGTTAAGGAAAGGCGTGTCTGTGGGGTAGATTTTGATGAACATTTCAGACAGGATTTATAGTTACTGACCTTATTGGAAGGTGGACTATCCCACATCAGTCGTCAGTCTAGTCTTGCAGCACATTTTAGGAAGTATTAGAATGCATTACAGTGCTGTAGCACGTAATTTAATCTCATTGTTAAGGAAAGTGGTTGGGTGGTATAGTACCCTGTGATTGTATGTTTAAAAACTTTCAGGAGCTGCCAGGAACTGATAGTCTTTCCACAGTCTCTCTGCATTCCCTGTTGCTCATCTTTACAGACCTAAGAACTGGGGTCTCGGGAGTTGGTTGCTTTGCTTTGGGTCATGCAGCTGGCCTGTGCCCCTAACACCCCTGGATTCCCAGGCTTGGCTTATACTGATCAGCACTTATGCACACTCCATATCCACTGCCACTGTGTCACCATGCACTAGAACTGTGCTCACACAGCAGTTGTGTGTTGCTGGAAAGCACTGTGACACTGCACTGATCTTGGACATGACTGTTGTATGGCACTGGAAGGATTGTGTATCACTGGACGTTTTCTTCCAAATTGGGAAGTAGGTTTTAAAAATATAACAATGTACAGACTGGGGAAATATTGGAGCAAGGAAGATCACAGTACAGGTTGACTACCTCATCTGAAATGCTTGGGAACAGAAATGTTTTGGATTTTGGTCTAAATAAATAAATAACTATATGCATATAATATTATTATCTATTAAATATCTCTATCTGTTTGTCTGTCTATTTATCTATCTGTCTAGAGATTTTGGAGATGGGACCAAAGTGTGAAGACAGACCTCATTTGTGTTTCACACCTACTGTTATACCCATAGCCTGAGGGTTATTTTACATAGTTTTTAGTGGACCTGCATTTTGACTGCAGCCTGTCACATGAGGTCGGCTATGCAGTTCTCCACTTGTGGCATCATGTTGGTTTCAGATGTTTGGATTTTGAAGCATTTCAGATTTTTAGGTTGGAGATGCTTAACTTGCAATGGAACCTATAGCCGCTGCTTCCTTTACACCTCATAAGTTTCTGGACCATTTTCAGTTCCTTCTCTGTGGTGTACAACTATACACATGTGCATGTGGGGATAGTGCATGGCAAGGTCACCTTTGCATCTTGCTCAGCACACGAGTGGATTGTCCTTCTCTCACATGAGACAGGCTTTGCTTCTATGCAGTTTTGAGCCTCAGGTTTACCGTGGTGGGGCTCTTGAGCTGATGTTTGTGTTTTTGTCAGGGAATAAGATGGCGCTATCTTAGGTGTTGATGCACGTGTGTATCCAGTTCGTGACGTGTTGTGTACAAGTTGTAGTACGTATTGTGCATCCTGTCATCATGCAGTTCTTGTGTTCTCTTCCTGTTTGCAGTACATAAAGGCATTAAGGCTAGTTGTACTTTCCCCAAGCAGCATAACAGAACAGGGCTTTTCTTTGTTATTATAGAGGAAACTTTAGGACATTTTAAAGACGTTTCTAGTTTTTTGAGTTATATTGAAATTAGTGGTCTTCTTTTTTTAAAAAACATGTTAAAGGACTCACAGTCCAGAAACAGTGATATGGCCAGCATCTTAGGACTATTGTGTATGCTTTATTTGTCCTTACCTGTTGCTTTAAGGATTAAGAACTCATAATTAGCCTAATTTTGACATAACACTGTGTTAGTAAAATTAGCAAAGGTGAAAATGAAGCATTTGAAAAATGAGCCCCCCCCACCCCCAAAAGGGCTCAGAATCACTTCTGGGTCTCTTTCAAAAATCCATGTGCTTGGGTACAGGACAAAGATTGTAATTGTGTGTCTCGGGGGAAACCACGAACGTGACAGCTCTGTATATACTAGGGTTGTTCATTGCAAGATTGTGTATGACAGTGAAAAGGTAGAAGGAATCAAAGTACCCATCAGAAGTGTATCCAGTGAGCCAGGCACATTGGTACAGTGGGATTCTGTGGAGACACCCACAGGGTGATGAAGATGATGCTGTGTGGGGTGTCTTGGATAGATGTGAAGGGGTCTGTGTGAAATATGAGCAGGTGGTTACAGAACAGTGTGTGTAATTGACTTGCATAAAATTCCACATAATTGTGCATCATCCATGATAACCTCCGAGATGAGCATTTGAATTCAAATCACTAAGCTTACTTAGTATTAACCCAAGGCATCACTCTTTTTAGTTGCCATTTTGGATAATAGTCACATTAGGCTTTTTGTTGTTGTTGTTAATGTTCCTGAGTTATCCTTCATAGAACCTAATAGGGTTTCCTAAATACAGTGGATGTCTGTAAGACCATAAATGACCTTGGTTTGAATTTGTGAATTCTTAGACAAGGATCAGTTTATTCAGTTATATTTTTTGCATCTTCCTACTTGACTCAGGACTTTATCAGTGACAAGAAACTTATAGCTTGGTGGAGTGGGGGAAAGAGACATGAGAACAAGCAGGACATGGCAGGTGCTAAACCAGAAATAAGCGTAGGGAGAGAAGGGTGGGTTTCCTTTGGGGAAAGTGATGCATAAAGCATGGAGGAGTATGATACAGCTGCATAGTTGGGTAGGTGGGTGGATGGGTGGATGAGTGAGGAGATGGGTGGATGGCTGGCTGGTTGATGGCAGTGGAGATGGATATGAAGAAACATTGAGGAGGTGTGATCTCAAATGTGAACATGACGAGAGGGAGTTCTCATGATTCTGAAATACCTAGCTTAGTGAACTGGGAGAATGGAGTTCCATACCTGCAACTGGGAAAGCTGGGAGGGGCAGTAGGTTTTAGGGGAAAAAATGAAACATAACTCGCACTTTTTGGGGAGGTCAAGAAAAGTAGGAGTGTAATTATTGAATAGAAGTCAACAGTACTGCTGGGGGGGTGGTGAGATTTAAAATGGAGAGTTAGGGGCTGAGGACAGAATGGTGTGCTGTCAGGGACAAGAGCGATTCAAGGCTGAGGCAGAACCATTGTTAAGTCTTCCTCTCACTATAAGTAACGCAAAAGTTGACAACTAACTCTCCTGAATTGCGTGTGGAGCTCAGAAGCATCATTGCATTGTATTTACAGATGGTCACACTAAGGGAATCCTTTTTTAAAAAAAGCATAGAAACCCTGAAAGACGTGTTAGTGATTTTGCTGTTTGCATCTGTTTCCTTAATAAAGTTTCTGTGAAATTGCTGACCTTTTTAGAGCAAAAGATCATTTTGAGTCATTTATGTTTTGAATTTGTTGTTGTACCTCCAAAATTCTGACTAAACTTTGGACGTAGGCACGTGAGTTCTGTGTGAAGCAGTGCCTCTACAGAAAAGCAAATGTAGAAGTCTGTTGACACTTGTGTGTAGGGATGTGATGCGATTGTGACTTACACACACTCCTCATGTTGGAAATGCGGTTCATTGATTTATGAACACCTCCTCGGAGGTGCTAAACTAGTTCCTGACAAGATTAGAATGGCATTTGGCTGCAGCCCTAACCTGCAGATGAGCACCCCATTCCAAGTTCATCTCCAGGGTACGCTGATGCCTTTCGGCAGTTTTTCAGTTGCATTGACAGTTGATTTTTTCATTTGTAGGTCTCATCCAGCCCATTCCAAGAAACCAGCTTTTCCAAAGTTATTTCAATAATAATTTTGTTAATGAAGCAGATAGACCATACAAGTGTTTTTACTGTCATCGAGCATATAAAAAGTCTTGCCACCTTAAACAACACATCAGGTAAGGTGACATGGGTCAGACATGGAACTTTAGATAATTAAAGTGATTTGGTGATCTGGTGACTTCTAAAAGTATTTCATATGGTATTATTTGCTTGTGGTTTTTAAAATGTTACATTTGGCCCCAAAATATTTATTGATAATTGATATTTTTATTGTTTTGACTGGTATTTTACTCAGAAATTGCTGCCAAATTTTATTTATATTTCCATTAAATTTCAGTGTTTGCAATTTGTAGGAAACATCAAAGAAGTCATTGGTTTATATAATTACAGTTATGTACAAGTTTTTCAGGTGTATTCATTGGAGCTTAATTCTTGGTGCTAGCACCAATGAAAAGAAAGTAGACGTTTGACCATGAGAGATAGCGTAATGTTTTGAGAGCAGTTGAGGACCCGAGGAGACAGGGTTCCTGTGGAGCTTAGTGGTGTGCTGCTGTGCCTTTGGGCATGTCGCTTACACTTTGTTTATAAAAATGTGGAGAGCTAGGTCCTTGGTGCTTAGCTACTTAGCTTAAAAATGTGATGATAGAGTGACATACAGACAAGCGTGCACTTGATATAAAGCATTATGGAGGCATAAGAAATGTATTCATTACGTTTTCTTCTTTTAGATCACATACGGGTGAAAAGCCTTTTAAGTGCTCTCAGTGTGGAAGAGGCTTTGTTTCTGCAGGTGTGCTCAAGGCGCACGTCCGCACACACACTGGACTGAAGTCTTTCAAGTGTCTGATCTGTAACGGAGCCTTCACCACTGGCGGGAGCCTACGGCGACACATGGGCATACACAACGACCTCCGTCCCTATATGTGTCCTTACTGCCAGAAGACATTCAAGACCTCACTGAACTGCAAAAAGCACATGAAAACCCACAGGTAGGTAGAATTCCGATGCTCCATCTTTAATTGCCTTTATAATTCCCAGTTAGAGCTGGGCTGTGGTGTTAAGAAACAAGGTTTGATTCCCAGATGATTATTTCTAACTCGAACTACATGGGCTGAAGAAACGCAGATGAAAGTGTTAACTCATTTACGTATGCACATATGTATGTGTGTATGCATGCATTTATTTATTCAGAAAGGGCCCTCACTGGGTTGTAGCCAGAGCTGGCCTTGAATCCGTGACCTCCTGCTTCAGCCTCCCGAGTACTGGGATCATAGGTATGTGCCATCATGCCTGGCTAACCTTCTTACATTTTTAACATAATACCGAGGCGGTGACTTTCGGGCTAAGTTCCTTGTTATCTCCTTCAGATCTAGTCGATGATTAGATGGAATGCCAGATTCTGCCTAGTTCAGTGAGGTAGTAAGATTTCCAAAGAGAAAATCTTGGTGGCCCTGTGATTTGCAGGCGTGTTATCAGTGACTCTTTCCTGTGTTGCTGAGTTACAGTACGTGTGCTTTAGCCCTCCCTCCGTGTACCCTCTATTTTCCTTTGCTGAAGAGCTAGCTCATCTCTAATGGAGGTAGTGGTAGTGCAAAGGAGGTGCATTTCTGACTAGAGCCGGGGCCTCCTGGGTGAGCTCTTGTGAAACCGCAGCATTCTGAAGTGTTGTGCAACACGTGGACAAGGTGGCTGCATGCCAGTTTGTCTGAAATGACTTAGGCCTCCCAGGAAAGAGCACTGGCCCTGCCGCCCTCCAGCATTTACCTTTGGTGCACCAAACCCTGCGTGTTAGGATAAGTGAAATGTGATAGTTTTCTTTTTGCTTTTTGGTGGATTATCCATCTGAGTGTCTAGCACATGGCAGAATTGACTTGGCATAGTTTATCCTTGCTGTGAAGTCTCCCTGCCACTGGAGACCATTCTGGCACCATGGTCTTGGTGGTGGCACATGGTGCATCTCACACTAACACCTGGCCATGCTGGACTGTTTATGGGGGATGTTCTGTACCAAGCATGTGTTTGGGAACCAGGACGCACCATTGGCATAGATAGATGCTTATGTCGCAGGATGACAGGTCCCTAGTTAGCCCACAAGCTGTGCCATGAGAGAGGCCTGGAGCTTAGGCATTAAGTGGTATTTTTCTCTGTAGGAAGCCAGGCTTTGCAGTGTACCTCCTGTGGCAGTGTGGTGAATACAGGTTCAAGGCCTTTGTTGATGGACCTCATGGCCAGTAGTGTAATTATTGGGTCACCTGTATTGTATTACGTGGAGCATTGTTTGGCCACAGTTTGTCCTGGGTCACGTTAAGGGATGCAGCTGGAGATCATTGTATGACTTTACCGTGTTGGCTCCACGGTTGCCCTCTACAGAGTGATCAGCCTGTCGTGTAGCAGCAGGGCTGGGTGCATTTCCCATGCAGATTGAGTGCATTTGAGCCTGTCTGCAAGGAGAGCCTGTGTTCCATCCCTTTGTCTAAAATGTTGCAGGTTTCCAAAATACCATACTCCTATATTAACAAATAGGTACACATGGCTACTCAGATTTGTGAAAAGGAAAACCAAAAGCTAGACAAAGAGCAGAAAAGAAGCCTCTATCCATTACCATGTAGATCACAGGCGTCCTTATGGGCACATCGCTGCATCACTGCACAGACTGCCACATTAAAGGTGGTAAAGGAACTGGGGTGTCTTCTGACTCTGCTGTCTTGTGGACATCTCAGTTATCCATTCTGCAGTAGAAGTAGGTGAGAACTGACTCTTTTTGCTTTCCGAAAATGTAGAGGAAAGACTTTGTTTAGAAGTAAAATTGCAATTCTAAGGAGATAGATTGATACGGTCCTTATTTTGGTGGGACTGAGATTTGAACTCAGGGCCTTGCACTTACAAAGCAGGTGCTCTACCACTTGAGCTACACATTCAGTCCATTTTGCTCTGGTTGTTTTGGAGATGGGGGTCTCATGAACTATTTGCTCAGGCTGGCCTTGAGCTATGATCCTCCCAAGTAGCTAGGATTATAGGAGTGAGCTACCTGTGCCCAGCTTATTAAGGTTCTTGAGAACACGTGAGTGATGGAGCTTGTGTAGGCCTGACTGTGTGAGGGAGAGGGGATGTTACAGACTTATCCAGCCTGTTACACAAATCACATAATGGAGGTATTGTTTAAGCTTCTTAGACTCATTCACTCAATTCAGTATTCATCTTTCTCTTTGGAAGAGAGATCACCGACCTTGGTGACTGCATGCTGTGACCTTAGTGACTGCATGCCGCATGTATTTCATATATGTAGCTGTTGCTAAGAGCAACACTAACATAAGAAAGTCAGCATGGGCTTACGCTTTGTATTACAAGCTTTGAGACCTGAGTGGCCAGTTGTAGCAGCTTTTCATTGCTGCGACAGATATCTGAGAGATACGGTTTAGGGCAGCTAAGATTTATTTGGGCTCGTGGTTTCAGAGGTTTCAGTTCATGGCTGACTGGCTCCATTGCTTTTAGGCTCTGGTGGGGCAGAACATGATGGTGGGGGTTGCATGGCGGGTTCTGCTTTCCTCCGGTTTCCTGGTAGCCAAGAAGCAGAGCAGGAGAAAAAGGCAGAGGCTGGAGAAAAGATACACCCTGCAAGAACGTGCCTGGGATGTACTTCCTGACCATGCCCCACCTCCTCCTCTCCACCACCTTCTGGACCCAGTCACTTTCTCAGAACCCCACCTCGGAGAACTGCCTTTCACACCCCAGCCCTCTTGGAGTATACTTCAGATCCAGCCATGACACCAATGAAGCGTGTATGCTCCGAGACTGCATTCTTTGCCTGTGCACCACATGTGCTTGTAATCCCAGCCACTTGGGAGGTATAGATCAGGAGGATTGCAGTTCCAGGTAGCTCAGGCAAATTTAAAAATAAAAAGTTAGCAAAGAGCTCGTTTCAGCAAATGAGCTGGGCATGGTGGTTTACATCTATAATCCCAGCTGCTTGGTAGGTTGTAGATAGGAGAATCATGGTCTGAGTCCGGCCCTGGGCAAAACTGTGAGATCCTACAAAAACACCTAAAGCAAAAAGGGCAGGGGTGTGTGGCTTCAGCTGTAGAGGGTTTGCCTAAGAAAGCGCAAGGCCCTGAGCTGAAACACCAGTACCTCCCTAAAATGCTGTCCCCTCTGTGCCTTCATGTCCTATGGCCTGTGACAGTACTTAAAAGGCAACATGGTTGGGCTGGCACAGTGGCTCAAGTGGTAAGAGCATCTGTCTAGCAAGCGTGAAGCCCTGAGTTCAAATCCCAGTGCTGCCAAAAAAAAACTTGCCTGCCTAGCAACATGGTTTTCTTCAGAATTAGTAGTAGTGTTTAAATTGCCATCGTGACTTCAAAATGAGATAATTTAAATAATTTTAAGAATGATTTATTTAATAAATTACAACCTACCCAGCCATGTCCTGGCAGGTATTGTGGGCAGTGCCTAACTTTGTGACTTTTCGCGGCTTTTCCTGAAGATACGAGCTCGCCCAGCAGCTCCAGCAGCATCAGCAGGTAGATGATGGCACTGTGGACCAGCAGAGCATGCAGGTAGCAGCGCCCATGCCGGTGGAGATGGAGAGCAGTGAGCTGCAGCCCTCAGCTGAGGCAGTCACGGCTGACCCAGAGGCCATGCTGGACTTGGGGCCACAGCATGTGGCAGGCACAGAAGACACAGCCCTCGGGCAGCCACTGGCAGATCCGCCTCTGGAGGCCGATGAAGGTAGGGTATGGGAGTTCCAGCTTTCAGGGTGATCCCTGCTGTCAGTCTCACCGCCATCCACACTCACCAGTGCTCTTGCTAGTGTGTGGGGGGGGTAGTACATGGCACTGGACCCTTTATATGGACATTTATATACTCTGTTCAGTTTTCTTAGCCTTTTTAGGGCTGGATTTTTTTCTTTCTTTGTTTTAAACACAAAGTAATCTCACTTCTTGTTAGCAAATTTTGGAAGCATTTGAAATCTGAGAACATCAGCAAAATCTACCATCCCAATTTGGGTGTGGGCTCTTCCAACCTTTTCCAGGCACTTGTGTAGGCCAGCCTGTGTGTACAAGCTCCGGAGGCTTGTGTGCCATACCTTGTCCCTTCTGTGTTGAGATTGCCTTTCAGTCTTCCATGACAGGGCACTCGCAGTACAGACCAAGGCTGTGCAGTCATGAACTGCTTGCTTCTGCTCTACAGGGAGACAGCATCTGGCCCAGAATGTCAACAGTGTACTCGTTTTGTCATCTGTCAGGTTGGGCTGCAGTGCAGTGTCTGCGTCACTGTGCAGCGTGCTTAGTGCAGTGGACGGTCTTCGTTCTGGCATAGGCCCATAAGCAAACAGTTTGCTGATCTCCTTACTATTTTGTTTTATGGATGTCCACAGATCGATTTATCTGTGGGCAGGATTGTACATTCCTCATCGCCTGTGTTGCCTGAAACAGTGCACACCCGGGATAGCTTAAGTAGTTGCTCAGTGTAATTGTGTTTCAGAATACCACTTTATCGGAGTCTCTGTGTGTCTCTGTGTGTACATACATGTATATAATTTTCTTCATTGTCTTTCAAAGTAAGGAGGCTGATGTTTGACAAATGAAAAACTCCAAGTGCATGATTCCTCTGTCTTTGCATTCTTGTCCTCAGATGGATTTGCAGCCCCGCAGGACCCTCTCCCAGGACACATGGACCAGTTTGAAGAGCAGACTCCCACACAGCAGTCCTTCGAGCCAGCGGGACTGTCACAAGGTCAGTGTAGGTTTCAGTGAGATTTGCAAATGAGCTGACCTGTGCTGGGTTTATTTTCATAACTATTTAAGGTGTTTCTCTGGAGCCTCTTCTACAATTTATGGCTTTGTCAAGTCCCATAATTTCCCATGACTGTATAAGTTTTCTTATTGTACATACGTTCTGTGGTCTTCTCAGATCTCCTGGACAGTGACTTTTCTGACCATTCCACATGTGGTTCCTAATCAACAGAAGATTATGGGCAAGAGTGGGACGTGGTGGTGATGGGTGTCCATAGCTGGACTATGAAGCCTGTGTCACAGGGACAGGTGCTGGGCCAATTTTCTGCTGAACTGGTTAGCAGACAATGCTAGCACTGTGATGAAGACTAGTCCTGGTTTTCCATCAGAAAGTGGAAATGTCTCTTTAGATGGTTTTATTTATAAACCAAACATTTTTTTTTCTTTTTGCTTTCTGTGTAAATTAAAATTTGACCTCATGACTTTATTTTCTTCATAACAAAACAAAACATGGAGCTTAGAACTGGGTCACTTCCTCTTTCTCTTCCTATCTCCTCCCAGTTCCCAATGCTGGCACCTCTTACTGACTGGCATCCTCTCAGGTCTCCAGTGTGCTCAGCACATTCTTCTTTACAATTTTAGTTTTCCTGGAAAGTCAACTTAGCCTGTGCACCACAGCCACTCTGCTTCCTATCATGACGCCACCTTCTCAAGGTGTACAGAGAATCCTTGCCCTTCTTGTCCTTGTCACCTTGTGTGGTTGGTGCTTGCCACGCTTTTTACAGAAAGCCTGGTGGGTCTTAGGGATGTTAACTTCAATTGTGGGAGGGCTGTTGGCACTGGAAGCTTTTGTGTAACTTTTAACATTTCTGTAGAACTCCTGTTTCTTATTTGTTTCAGGTTTTACAGTGACTGACACGTACAATCAACAGACTCAGTTTCCACCTGTGCAACAGCTGCAGGATTCCAGTACACTTGAGTCCCAGGCCCTGTCTACGACGTTCCACCAGCAGACCCTGCTGCAGGTCCCGAGCTCTGACACCATCAACGTGGTGAGTGCTTGCAGAGCGCACTCTCTGTCATGCAGCAGATGTATTTCTCTTCTCTTGCTTGGAGAGCATGCTCACGGCAGGTCCCTCTCAGGTAGCACAGGAGAAAAGCTCTGTTCGTAGTACACAGAGCTTTCTCTTTTCTTAAAACATCTCCACGAGTTTAACATCGTGATGCAGCTTTTCTTATGGGCTAAAAGCCAGGAAGTCAGTAGAATGTGGTTTCATAATAGGGTCTGAAGGATGCTGCTTTAGACACAAAACCTAACTGCTATTGTTTATGGAGTCTTAAATATGTCAAAAGGAACATAAAATGAATGTTGATATATTAAAAATAAGTACTACATAATGTTAAATTTTTATCTCTTAACTCAAATTGGAAACATTGAAGTTTTGTTTGATTTTTCTACTTTTGGAAACTTTCTAACAGTGATGAAAAATATGGAGCAGTCAGTGATTATCTCTGTAAAATCTGCTGGTAGCTTTGCCCAGTGGTGGACCCGAAAGTGTCAGCACTTTTTTGACCCCAGAAACTGCACCGTTAGCAGCAGTGCTGAATCTGGCATGCTTAGCCTGACTCCAGAGCCCTCAGTGAATTGGGGCCAACCCAGTGCAGTTGCTAGCAGAATAGGGATTGCTAATTTGGTTGTGGAAGTCAGGTAGGAAAAGGGTCTTGCTTCCAGCAACATGCAAGGGAGCTCTCCACTGTTCAGTTTGCCTTTGGCTATCCAGGCATTTGAAGCTTTTTGTACCTTCTGCCCAGTGTTAGCAGGATGTGTTTTGGAGGGATCTCTTTAGTGCTGCTGTGTAGGGGAAGGGCTAGGGTGACTGCTGTTTGTCCATGGTTCTTTTCCTGGAGGTAGAGAGCAGGTTCTCTTTCTCCTCTCTGGTTTATTATAAGACAGGAAACCCAATCTTTGCAGAAAGTAGGATTTTTACTCATGGTATGTAGGCAGCATTCCATTGTTGTGACAGAATACCTGAGATAATCACCTTACAGAGAGGAAAGGTTTATTGTGACTCATGGCTTCAGAGGTTTCAGTTCGTGCTCTGTTGAACCTGTGGCAAGGTGGCACATCATGGAGTATGTGGTGGAACAAAGCCACTCACCTTGTGTGTCAGGGGAGCCAAAGGGGAAGAGAGAAGGGCTGGCAGTTCCAGTGTCTGCATCGTGGGCACATCCCCAACAGCCTAGCTCCCTCCCACTAGGCTCTACCTCCTGAAGGCTCTGCTGCCTTGCAGAGCGCCACAGACAGGCAACCAAACCTTTAGTACATGGGCCTTTGGGGAGCACTTGAGATCCAGACTTCAACAGCTAGTAAGAGTCAAGCTAGTAAAAGAGTAACCTTTCATTAAGACACATCAAAAAGTTTCATGGTTGATTAGTTTAGAGTTTGTTTTAAAGTAGATTAGTACAAAAGAAGTACTTATTAACCAGGTCTGTGTCAGTGATTTTTATTACTGCTCTGGCCCAGTGATTGCCGTGGATTTCTTGTGGTTTCTCTTTTAAAATCGCATTTGTGAATATTTGTATTCGTAGTTCTTAGTTGTCAAGCTGTTCTGTGTTTATTCAGACATATTCATGAACTTTTTGCTTTATACTTCTGTTCATTTTAGACAACTCGCTTGCTTCCAGACTCGTCCCAGGAGGAGCTTGACCTACAGTCTCAACGCCCCCAGTTCCTAGAGGACAGTGAGGACCAGAGCAGGCGCTCTTACAGGTAGCCACTGTCCAGACCTGACTCCTGCTGTGAGTGCTGATCCTGTGTGTGCTGATGTAGTCTTGGGCTCTGCAGCTCATCCTCCTAGACTCTGTGACATGGGGTTCATTAGCATCCCTGCCTTACAAAGGATCCTGTCACGGTTAGACAAAGTTTATAATTAAATGTAATTGAATGTTTTGTCTGCAGACAAGTTATTATTGCACTTTCTAATTTGGAAATAATAAAATACACTTAGGACTACAAATGCCCTAACTAAATCTTAAAAAATTGTCATTGCCACTGTTTTGTGTTGCATATTCCCATCATCTCAGTTTGGACAGCACCCTGGTTTCCATCAGAGTCCTGTCTGAGCGTGGCAGGTGTCCGTGAGGCAGGTTTGGCCTCCTCAGTTCTCAGATGTGTGTTGGTAGTTGTGCTCTGAGCATGGCCTGAGCTCTGTGTGTTTGGTTTTCAGGTGTGACTATTGCAACAAGGGCTTCAAGAAGTCCAGCCACTTGAAGCAGCACGTGCGCTCGCACACGGGGGAGAAGCCCTATAAGTGCAAGCTGTGTGGGCGTGGCTTCGTCTCCTCCGGTGTCCTCAAGTCCCACGAGAAGACGCACACAGGTGATTGTCTCATGAGGAGGTTGCATTGTTTTTAATATAATGCCTCTATTGAGATGTAATCCATGTACCTTTCAGTTCACCCACGGCATGCAGTTAGTTCAGTGGTGTTAGTGTGTTCATAGCGCTCTGCATCTGCCACCACCGTCCCATTTTAGTACACTTTTATCACACCCCAATTTTGCCTAATAGCAATCACTGCACACATCTCCATTTCCAGGTAGTGTGTAGTCTTCCTCTGTGTTGTAGCTTTGCTGTTCTCGACAGCATGTGAGTGGACTCAAACCATGTGTCCTTGGTGCACTTAGCTCAGTGCACTCAGGGTTCATCTGTACTGTGGCATGTGTCAGCACTGCTACGATACTCCATTGTGTGGATGGGCCACATTTCATTTACCATCCTCAGCAGGGCCTTTACTTATGTCCATGTTTTGACTATAAAGAACAGTCCTGCTGTGAACCTTTGCCTCTTAAGTCTCAGTATGGAAATGCTTCCTTTCTCTATGGGGAATGGGCTCTCAGGTCCTAAGATGCCCCTTTTTAAGGCTAGGGATGGGGCTCAGTGGAAAGTTTATCCAAGTGTCGTGCAGAGTGGCTGCAGCCTCTACGCTCTCCAGCAGGCATGTGAGGCTGGTTTCTCCCCCTCCCAGTCGGTGCTGGTTAGTGTCTGTCTTTTTCATTACCTCCACCCTCAAGCCTGAAGCCATCACTTGTTGGGCATGCTTGCATGTCTGCAGTACTGTTGAACCTCTTTCCATGGCTTACTGAGAAGTCTATTCTAGTCTTTTCTATTCCATTTGCAAATTAGGTTTTTCTGTCTTATTACTGAGTTGGTGAGTTTTTAAAAAAAAAAAAAATATATATATATACACCCTGGCTACTGGGTCTTTATCAGATATGTTATTTGCAATTAAATATTTTTTCAGTATATTGCAGTTAACGTGTTTAGCAGTTCAATATACTTAATGAACATACTAATAACATACATGTTTAATATCAGTATATGTTATATTCAGGTTCAACTTAGATGTTGTGGTGCCTTCTCCCTATAATCCCAGCAACTCGAGAGACAGAGATGGTGGCAGGCTGAATAGGTTGGGGTGGATCGTGATTCAAGGACAGCCTAAAGAAAAAGTTAGTGAGACTCCATCTTTACCAGTAAGCTGGGCATGGTGGTACATGCCTGTCATTGCAGCTAAGCCAGAGGCCTTAAGTAGGAGGATCATGATCTGAGGCCAGTCCTAGACAAAATCAAAACACAAAACCCTGTCTAAAGAATAAACGCAGAAAGGACGCAGGTTGTGGCTAAAGTAGTAGAGTGCTTGCCTAGAAAGCACAAAGCCCTGAATTCAGTTTTTAAAAATAAAACAAAAAAGAATAAAATGTGCTCTGTCAATTTCTGTGTTCTTGAAACAATCAAGCTCCTAAAACTTGCAGAGCACAGTAAAGAAGCTGTCTCTGTTTTCCTGACTTGTGGCGTACATCTGTTTGCGTTTGAGTGCTTGTGTCTGTTAGGTAATGAAGTGCCGTTTTCTCTGCTGCAGGAGTGAAGGCGTTCAGCTGCAGCATCTGTAATGCTTCGTTCACCACCAACGGCAGCCTCACCCGGCACACGGCCACGCACATGAGCATGAAGCCTTACAAGTGTCCGTTCTGTGACGAGGGCTTCCGCACCGCCGTACACTGCAAAAAGCACATGAAGAGACACCAGGCAGTGCCCCCGGCTACAGCGGCCACTGCGGAGACTGAGGCAGGAGGTAGTTTTCATTGTGGACTAAGCGTGCTGGTCGAGTGCTGGTTTACAGTCAATGTACATGGCCCTGAGTATTTTAACCTGCTGAGAACAGCTTAAATCCAGAAGCCCCAGAAAGTAAAGGGGCTGGTGATGAGAAGAACTTCCGGGAGGGCTCATGGAGCAAATGCTCGTCCCTGGCACTGTCATGGCGCCGGGCTTGGTTCAGTGTCTGCTCTGGTGCTGCGTCCTGACAGCAGCAACCTCACCCTGTGCGCTGTTGTGATCGCCTGGTTCCCCCTCGGAAGCTCGTGTCACATCTCATGCGCTGCTGTGGGCTGCAGAACCGCTGCAGAGCCTCACGGGCGCTGTGCTGTTAGGACTTGCTGGGGCCGATGGCAGCTGGCGTCTTGTCTCCTCTGAAATTAACCCTAGCTGGTCTGTGTGGCGGGTGGATGCTCACATTGACGCCGTCCCCAGGCATGGTCATGACACTGTAGCCCGAGGCGCTGCTCTAATTTTCGATGTGAGCCAGTTAGGCACGCATTTGGCCAGCCAACCTGCTCCTGCCGTACCGGGAGAGCAGGCTGACGGTATTGCTTTTGTGCTTGCGCCTTTTGAACTTACAGATGATTTCTGTTAGTGAATTCCACGAGCGAAGTCCCTGTGGAAAGAATGCGCACGTTTCGTGCTTTCTCTGGGATGCCAGCACCCAGTGTCAGTGTCTTCGTCACTGCAGCCCTCATGCACTTGTGCGGTGTGCGGGTCTGATTCTCACCTGGCTGTGGCTGCTGCTGCCACCATAGAGTGGTGCTGGTGTCTGTTGAGGGAGTGTCAGTCGGCGCCTGTGTGGAGGCCGTTGGCCAGTGTTCTCAGAGGGCTGATCCGCTGAGGGCTCCTGCCTTCCTGTCCCTGTTGCTTATCTCTTGCTGCTTGTTGGCATCTGACCTTGGGTCTCAGTCAGACATTAGGGTCCCTGTCGGGTTCCTCTGCAAGGAGACCAGTGAGGCTTTCTCTGGTGGTGTGAGGAAGGAGCCCACCCCACGGGCAGCCGGACAGCAGCCCCTGCCTGGCTGCAGGACCTGTCCAGAGACCCTTGTGCAGCAGCTCTGAACACCCAGTTCTGTGGTACTGGTGCAAATAGAGCCTTTATCTCCAGCGTCAACTTCTGCCGAGATCAGTGAGCCATACAAAGCAAATCCAGAACCTAGGCCCTGCAGATGTTGTTTCTGGACCCTCTTGGCAATGTTGCCTGAGTAGCAGCCTGAGTGCTGCGTGAGTCCAGTTAATGAAGCCACCGTGCCATCGGGTCAGTGTGCTCGAGTGACTTGTGGCCCATTGTAGCTTCGGGGTCTTGTACCTTTTCTCTGTCCTCGTAGGATCTGCCTCTTTTCTTTTGTGGTAGGGGGTAGACCGTGGCCCCGTGCTTGCAGGTGCTCCACCACTTGAGCCACGCCCCATGCTTTCGCTTTTAGTTTGTTTTTAAAGTGGGCTCTTGTTTTCTGCCTGGGCTGGCCTGGGACTGCAGTCCTCCTATCTATGCCTGCTACATAGTGTGGATTATAGGGGAGTACCACCATGCCCAGCTCATTGGCTGAGGTAGGGTCTCACTAACTTTTTGCCCAGGCTGGCCTTGGACCTTAATCTTCCAGACCTGTGCCTCACAGCTGATATTATAGATGTGAGTCACTGCACCAAGTGAAAAGCGTTTTCACCGTTTTAAACATAACGTTGAGTTACTAACTTTAACCTCACTTGCTTAGTTTTGATTTGCTTGTTTTGTTGAAAACTGTGTTCACGGGGTTTCCTCCCTCTTCTTGTGCTTTGAGTAGACATGGGCGCAGACGAAGAGGAAGAGAACTCTGACAGAGGAGCCTCGAGAAAGCCTCGTCCTGAGGTCATCACTTTCACAGAGGAGGAGACGGCCCAGCTGGCCAAGATTCGGCCGCAGGAGAGTGCCACGGTGTCGGAGAAGGTCCTGGTGCAGTCAGCGGCCGAGAAGGACCGCGTCAGTGAGATGAAGGACAAGCAGGCAGAGCTGGAGGCCGAGCCCAAGCATGCCAACTGCTGCTCATACTGCCCCAAGAGCTTCAAGAAGCCCAGCGACCTGGTGAGGTGAGGATTGCACTTGCCCAGGGCCCCTGAGAGACTCGAGTGCGTGCCCCAGGTTCATGCTACGCCTTCCATGCAGTGCAGCGCTCCCTGTGGGGCTCTGCCGTGAGCTCCGCAGGAGCAGGAGGGCAGCTGTCACCTGTGCTCCCAGGCAGACTTCTCCAGAAACCAAATAGGAGCTCTCCCTGTGCTTTGTGCTCCACGGGTTTGGAGCAAGCCATGCAGGGAAGGGGTGTGGGAGATGGGCAGCTCTCAGAAAGCATGCAGCCAGAGAGCAGAGAGTGATTGCCCGGAAGGGCAGCCATTCAGCAGAGTGATGGCACGCAACAAGCCAGGGATGGCATGAAGACAGGGCAGTTGTCTTTGACCGTGTGCATCGGGACTGCACTGGAACCCAGTAAGCTGGCTGTGTGATCCGAGGTTGGGTATTAAGACAATAGCAAGTTAAACCACAGAGAAGGACCATCTCAACTGATGAAGAGTCTGGGTGTTCAAGAGGAGTCCAGCCTGGCCTGGCTGGCAGCTGTGTGTGGCTGGAGGACGCTAACAACCCATCCAGCAGAGAGGGCTCTGTCATGGTAGGAGTGGGATTAGAGGGACAGTTGTGCCAGGCTTGGGTACCAACTGGGAGGAGTTGAGACAGCTTTGAGCACGCACAGCACTATAGACCTCCACGGGCAGTGCGTCTGTGGCAGTGCTGATGGGTATAGGAGGCACAGTAGCCAGCCGCATTACCGTCTTTGAGTCCTGTCTAGGTCAGCTTCCCTACCAAGTACTGAGAAAGCAGGATGTGGGAAGGCTGCCCTGCTTCCTGAAGATAACCACCATTGGCAGGATCCTGTGTGTTTTCAGAAATGTCTCCATGTGTTGACCGAGCTCTGCAGTTCTGCTTCTCATTGAATTTTGCCTATTGATGAATCATGGGCATTTTCCTTACAAGCCCATGTCATTCTTTTTAATGGCGGTGTATGTAGTATTCTGTCACGGGCATTCCTGTCACCAGGCCTGCCGGTGGACATCAGGAGCTCACACTGGATGTAGAAGGATGCTGTAGAGTCTGTGTCCTCAGAGCACACAGCTCATTGCTGACACAGCCTGCTCAGAGACCCCAAAGCCTGTTCAGACCAGCTGATTCTCAGATGGCTGCTTGCATGTCTTCTGGACTCCATCTCCATTTGCTCTGATGCTGATGGTCTTGCTTTTTGGTTTTTAAGGATATTAGCCCTGCTTTCACTAATCTTGCAAATGTTTTTGTTGTTATTTAGGTTTCTTTTATGGTGTTTTTTTTACAAAATGAAGCTTAAAATTTTTATTTGGCCAAATTTAATCAGAACATAATAACGGATGATATTTATTTATATGGCTATAAATTTTCAAATTGTGAAGTTGTTTGTAAATGTGCATATAATTAAAAAGAAAGTCACTCAGTTACAAATCTGTTTGGATAGGCATGTTCGAATCCATACTGGAGAAAAGCCGTATAAATGTGACGAGTGTGGGAAGAGTTTTACTGTGAAATCCACCCTCGATTGCCATGTGAAGACCCACACAGGTAAGAAGCAGACACTGCAGGATTTAGGTGCCTTACAGTGCTGCTGTTTCCTGTGTATGAATATAATTTTGTGTCTGAATACTTTCAAAGTCACAAAGTTTAAAAGTCAGCAACCAGGAAGACATAGATGTAAGAGGCTTCTTATTCCTGACAGGGCTGGGGTAGGTCTAATGGACAGGATTAGATTGCACATCAGGTTCCAGATTGTCCTGTGTTCTGCTCTGGCTTACACATTTTCCCTCAGCCTTACTCAGGTCAAAGAGGCTCGGTCTGCTGGGGGCTTGTAAATCTGGGAGCCTGGCAAGTCTGATGACCGTTACGGGGGAGTCAATGTCTAGCGTTCCTGGATTTTTCTTTTTCTGGTTTGGGGACCTGTGTGTCCGTTGCAGCCATTTCAAAAGGCTTTGCCCAGGTCCCCAGGACCCCTGTGGTCAGGAGGGCAGCTGTGCTCCTGTGACGGGGCTTCCCGACCTGAGACAGCTGCTTCTCTGCGCAGCAGGCTGCTGTCACGGAGCCCAGCTAGGGCAGTGCCTCCCATGGGGGAGCGTAGATTGCTTAAGCACAGCAGATAGCTTAGCAATCTGCTGGGCACAAGTCAATGCTCCGTGAACATTACAGGCATCATCACTATGGCACATAGGGTTGTGATCATTGAACGACTTTATGCTCTCGATTTTTGGTCAGAGCAGAATGGAGCAAGTCGGTATAAGCAGAACTTCTCCCGTGGGTGAAGTCTTACGCTTCTTTCCGCATGGTTCTTTGGAGCTAAACCAGACACGTGAACCTGTTTAATAAGACTCTCCCTGTGCGGTTCTCCTGTTGTTTCACCGGCTCCCTCTGTCTGCTTCCTGTGCTGTGCAGTGCTGTGAGCTTGCTGAGGGTGCACTGGGTGAGCTGTGTCACCTTAGTCTCCCACATCTGGTACACTTTCATACACACTGGGCACCCAGGGAGGTGTTCAACAGTCCTAACAGCTGCGCTGCCCACTGGGCTATGTGGATAAACAATAGTGAGGAAGTGCTTCCACTGTTGCTTTCTCTGTTCAGAATGACGAGGTGTCTTCTGAGGACCCCAGAGCAATGCAGGACCACAGCCTTGTTAGTCCTTCTGTGAGTCCTTCTTTTGTTACACAGGTGATAATGGGGAGAACCGGAAGGGAGGGAGGAGGGGCTTGGTGCTCGACACACACAGTGGTGCGGCTTGTGCTGGCGTTCTGCTTGTCCCCATGTGACAGAGTGAAACAGATGCTGATGCATTGGCACACCCTTTGTAAAGTCGAAGAGGAGAGACAGGAGAGCAGACCAGGCCTGGGCCACCTCACCCTTAGCTTCCGGCAAGTGAAAGTGAGATAGTCCAGTCAAGGTGGCAGTAACGCAGCAGTTCAGGGCCCTGCCTTTGGAGGGCTGGGTGCTGCTGGATCTCTATGACTGTCAGTGGCGTCCTCGGCATGCGAGGGTCCAGATTCTCTGTAAAGCGCTTGCACCTGGTGGATTCTGTGTGTAGTCTGTCCTGAAGCTCTTGCACGGTGTCGGCTTGCCTGGGGGCCTCAGCCCCTGCTGACCCTTGACGGGCTCTCCACAGGTCAGAAGCTGTTCAGCTGCCACGTGTGCAGCAATGCCTTCTCCACAAAGGGAAGTCTGAAGGTCCACATGCGCCTGCACACAGGAGCCAAGCCCTTCAAGTGCCCGCACTGTGAGCTGCGCTTCCGCACTTCCGGGCGCAGGAAGACGCATATGCAATTTCATTATAAACCAGACCCAAAGAAGACCAGAAAACCCGTGGCGCAGAGCTCGTCGGAAGGACTGCCACCTGCAAACCTCCTCAACTCCTCCTCCCCCGACCCCAGTGTGTTCATCATGAACAACTCTGTTCTGACAGGCCAGTTTGATCAAAACTTGCTTCAGCAGGGGCTGGTGGGCCAAGCCATCCTGCCCGCCTCAGTGTCAGGTAAGGACTCCGCTGGGGAGAGGCCTGCTCGCTGTGCCACCATGAATCCCTGTCATCTCCCATCATGGAAGAAACGTGACCTTCAGTAGCAAGATGGCGCCCTTCCTTGAACCTCCCTCATAGGGCAGTAGGAACAGTGGACATCTCCCCTTTCACACTTACCTGTCCACCTTCCAGTCCTGCTTTTTAACTCCTTAGCATTTTGATTAGCTTTTGCTCTTAGTAGATAGGAACATTTCTTTTTCAGTTGACGTTATCATAAATTTATCAAAAATTTATAACTTACACAACATAAAATGCTCATAACCTTTTAATACAGTGTCAGTTGTCGTTAGGTCACACAGCACCTGAAAGGTGTTCGATTTTAGCCCCGTGGGTTTATCTGTGGACTTACAAGTCAGCAATTGTTGGCAGCGATTAGATATCTTTTCTCCTTTCCTTCCATGTCTGTGACTCGGTATGATTACGGCTGCATGGCAGCATGGTTGCTGCTGTTTTTTTTAACATTTAATGAATTTGCGTACCATTCTTGTGCAGGGGTCACGCTAATCTTCTCTGTATCGTTCCAATTTTAGTGTATGTACTGCCAAAGCGAGCACTAAAATCTTGCTCAATCTCTATTTTTTTTGCCGTGCTGGGGTTTGAACTCAGGACCTCATGCTTGGTAGGCAGGTGCTCTACCACTTGAGCCCCTCCACCAGCCCAACAGTAGAGATCAGCAGAACTTTTTTTTTCTTTTTTGTGGGACTGGGATTTGAACTCAGGGCTTCACACTTGCAAAGCAGATGCTCTACCACTTGAGTTACACCTCTGTTGCTGCTGTTTTAAACCTTGGGTTACTCAGAATACTCTTTTTGAGCCCCTTTGTGACATGTGGTGGTTTTTTTTGGCGATACTGGGTTTTGAACTTGGCCTCATGGGTGCTAGGCAGGCCCTCTACCACGTGAGCCACTGTGCCAGACCACACAGAGCTTGTTTTGTGATGGGTAGCTTAGGTGTATGTGTGTAGTGTGACTACTAGTATTCCTTAACTAGATCATGTTCACGTAACATAAAACTTGTGTGTTTAGAAATCACTGTGTAAGAAGAGTTCTTTTAGGTTAAAAAGCATTCCTCACATTGAACTTTGCCTTTCTCCTCCTTGGGCCAGCTGGCGGGGACTTGACGGTGTCCTTGACAGATGCAAGCTTGAGTGGCCTGGAGAGCATCCAGTTACAGCTGGCTGCTAACTTGGTTGGACCCAATGTTCAGATCTCCGGAATCGACGCCCCCAGCATCAGTAACATCACACTGCAGGTGTGAGAACTGCCATGGTTGTCTCTGCTTTCATGTTACTTAAATTACAGGAACATCACTTTTGTGACTGGGGTCTCTTGCCTTTCAGATTGATCCAAGCATTTTGCAGCAAACGCTACAGCAGGGCAGCCTGCTTACCCAGCCACTCACAGCGGAGCCTGGCACAGCCTCACAGAGCAGCTCTCTCCCGACCACCACGGACAGCACCGTCCCAGCCAGCGTGGTCATTCAGCCCATCTCAGGCCTGTCCTTACAGCCCACGGTGACTTCTGCTAATCTGACCATTGGCCCACTGTCTGAGCAGGACTCTGCACTAACCACCAGCTGCAGTGGTAAGAGCCACTCGCCAGTGTGCTGTGGAGGCCAAGCTTAAGTTCTTGCTGTAGGTGCACATTTGATCTTAGGGCATTGTGACATCATTTCCTTCTTTGTAAAGCTCACTGGGTGAATCAAAAGTTGAAGGGTGGAATAGAGTCTTCTTAATCAATGATGTTCGTTCAACTTGTGTACCCACATTGCTGTGTGAATGGAACTACTTTTTTTTTTTTGAATGGCTGTTTTTTAATTTATGGTGGTACTGGGATTTGAACTCACAGCCTTGCAATTGCCAGGCATGCCTGCTACCATTTGAGCCATACCTTTGGCCCATGGCTCATCTTTTTATAAAATTGTTAGAGGGGACTGACAATTTATTTTGAATATTTATCTTTTTGAAACAATTTAACTAGAACACTTTAAATGTAAATAAGGAAAAATGTGCTATTTTAGAACTCAACTTTGTCCTGCTTTGTTCTGATGAGCAGGGACCCAGGACCTCACTCAGGTGATGACATCGCAGGGCCTCATGTCCACCTCCACAGGCCCCCACGAGATCACCCTGACCATCAACAACTCGAGCCTCAGCCAGGTCCTGGCCCAGGCCACCGGCCCCACTACCACACCATCCTCCGGGTCTCCACAAGAGATTACCCTGACTATCTCTGGTCAGTATGCTACCATTTGGACTTCATTTTACTTACAGCTTATGTCCATCTTGCTTGTGTCTCTTTCCCACAGCACTCATCTTTGCATTAGCCATTGCTCAGTAAGTACTTGACTCGTGAAAAATTCAAATTGAGTGAAATCAAGTACCAGAAATTAGAAACTGTTTTCTCATGTCACTTTCAGGTTAAGTAGAGTCGATTATGTAATTAATTCACCTTTAGAGGGTTGGTTATTTTTGCCACAAGTTTTGTTTAGCAAACAGCAGAACAAATAGCTTCCTGATTGCTGTTCATGTTCCCAACAGTGAGGATTACCACTGGTGTAAGCTGTTTATGTGAGAGCACTGTAGACCCTGGGGCTTACCTGCTATTAAGTCTTCAAAACCCCACTCAGGTTCTGTGGAAATTTAAATATGGTAGAGAACTGGAAAGTAGATAAACAGGCATGAAATGCCACTTGGCAGTAGAGCGCATTGGTAATTTGCACATCGTCCTGCCCGTCAGTCACAGGCTGATGCAGCCTGGTCTGTGGGGTGCACCGTCCTTGATCCTGTGTTTGTCCGGCATTCTCTGTGTGCTCTGGCTCACATCAGCCTGGAACATATCACCTGGTTTTCCTGGCCACACGGTTCCTAGATGTAGCTAGGCCCTCCATGTAGACCAAGTCTTGCTTTTTTTTTTTGCAGTACAGGGACTTGAACTCAGGGCCTTGCACTTGCCAGGCAGATGTTCTGCCACTTGAGCCATGTTCTCAGCCCTTTTTGCTTTAGTTATTTTTGCAGCTAGAGTCTTGGGATTTGGCTTAATCTGGCCTCAGACCTTGATCCTCCTACTTATGCCTACCTTTTAGCTGAAATTTCAGGCATGTACTACCACTCCCAGCTTATTTGTTGAAATGAGGTCTCACTTACTTATGTGGGTGGCTTTGAACCATGGTCCTCCCATCTCTGCCTCCCGAGTAGCTGAGATTGCAGGTGTGTAATACTGTGCCTGACAGAAAATGAAGTCATTTCTTAATTTTTTATAGCTCTTGCTTTGTGCCAGGCTTTATTCTAGTAACTTCACAAGTATCACTTTCTTTAGTATCAGTGCACTTATGGCTCCTGCACGGAGCCTTCTGTCCCCCTCCATCCCTCATTTACTCGAGGGAGCTCTGAGCACTTTGCACTGCATGTGGCAGATCTGGGCAGATCAGGAGCAGGACTCGGAGCAAGGGATGATGTGTGCTGTGCCATTTGCTCTGCTTTCGCTCTGGTGGAGGCAAATTCGCCCAGTTCCTCCGCTGCTCATCTGTCTGACTTGGGTGGGGCTCTAAAAAGTCATAACATACAACTTAGTTTCTGAAAAAGCTGTATCAGGCAATTTATTTTTCTCACTTATTAATTTGAAATAGGGAGGAATTGTGATTTTTTTCTTCATGATTGACTACAAGATAGACTTCCAGGTTATAGTTCAACCTATGATGGGCAAGAGCACCAACATATATCATGTATTATTAAAGTTACGTACCAAGATTTTCCCTAACTTTTTTCTGAAAGTCACAGCTTGTGTGTGTGTGTGTGTTCATCTAAAGAATAAGCATGTGTTCTTGCCCATTGTCTCTAGAATTTTAAATGTAAGCTGTTGGTTTCCCATCCTTACCATCTGTGTGGCTCATGTGGGAACATGAAGATGTGTTTCTTGTCTGTGGCCAGAGGGAGTGGTGAGTGGTGGTCCCTGCGTAGTGCAGTCCTGGTCTGGTGATGCTGGGACTCAGCCCTCATCTGCTTCACATCCACGGTGAAGAACATGGAAGCTCTGCTTTGCATCTTTCCGTGTTAGTCCGTTTTTCGTAGCTGTGACAAAATACCTGACATACACAGCTAAGTAAGGAGGAAGAACTTATTTGGGCCCACAGTTTCACAAATGTCAAAGCCTGTTGGATGGCTGCATGTATCTGGCTTGTGCTGAGACATCAGTGTTTACTTCTGGTGTCCAAGAAGCAGAGTAAAGTCAGGACAGGGCCCGGCCATGCTGTGCCCTGCACAGACTCGCTCCACCCAGGCCGCACCTTCCCACAGTTCCCCAGCTGTGCACATTCTGAATCTGTCAATGAATCAAACCATTGATTAGATCAGACCCGTCATGTTCTGATCCTACAGAGACACCCCAGGACACTCAAATGTGCGTTACTAGCCTAGGTCTCCGTCTAGCCAAGTTACAATCAAGACTGACCAAGTCTACCTCTTCTCAACTTGACATGCTCAGTCTCCAAGCACAGACAGTAACACAGTCATCATTCCCCCTAATACATCTGAAATGCACTAATTCTTCCACAAGTTTCAACAGTTGCAGTGTTTCTCAGAAGCTCAAGTTTGAAGTCTTCTGTGGCTCCAGGCATACTCTTAGCTGTGAGTCTTATGCTTCCAACCTGGCTCCTGACTTTGGCAGTCTCTGTAACCCTGAGCGTCATTGCCCAGCAGTGCAGTAGTAGTGGGGCTGAAGCCCCAGGTTACCTTTTCACTTGACCTTCCCTGGTTTTTCTCTGTGTTATGCTGAAGAAGCACTGTCTGCTCACCTGTAGATACTTAGAACTACAGAAGCCTTGTAAGGGTAGAGCTGAGCACTGCGAGGTTCCCCTGATGCGCCAGAGGCCAGATGACACAGTTCCCAGTACTGAGGTCCCTGAGCTCCTGAGCTCTGGTTGCCCTGCTGCTCCACTGAGCTCTTGCTTTGCCTCTTTTATAGAACTTAATCCCACGAGCGGAAGCCTTCCTTCAACAACGCCCATGTCTCCATCAGCCATCTCCACTCAGAACCTGGTTATGTCGTCGTCGGGTGTGGGAGGGGATGCAAGCGTCACATTGACCCTGGCTGACACTCAAGGTGTGCTGTCGGGCGGCCTGGACACAGTTACCCTGAATATCACCTCACAGGTGAGCGTCCTTGCAAAGGAATTATGGGACCTTGTGAAAGGTGGCTGTAGAAATGTCATTGAGTTATCCTTTGCTAAGTAGATTCTGTTTCTGAGCACTTTCCTTCAAAATTAATTTTCTTTCTTACTAAAAGCACAATATGTCACCAGGTGCAACCTGTAATACCAGCTGCTTTGGAGTTGGAGTTCAGGGACTTGCAGTTTGTGACCAGCCTGAGCTAAAGTTAGTGAACCCTATCTAAAAAACAAGCCAGGCATGGTAGCATAAGCGTGCAATTCCAGCTACTCAGGAGGTGGAGCTAGGAAGATCTCAGTTCAAGGCCAGACAGGGCAAAAGCATGAGACCTCTCTGGAAAGCAAACTACAGCAAAAAGGACAGGGAGTATGGCTCAAATGGCAGAGCACCTGCCCAGTGCGCACAAGACCCTGAGTTTAAACCCCAGTACTGCAAAATAAATAAAAACTTTAAAAAGTTTTAAAAGTTTAAAAGCTTTAAAAAGTAATGTGTAAAATACAAAAGGGGGAAAGAAAAACCCAGGCAGTGCAGAAAAGTATAAAAATAAACTTTGAAGACAAGACAGCCTTTGATCCCACTACCAAGATAGAGCTGTGATGGACGTTGCAATGTATGTTACGGGTGATGTTAAGTATCTTACAGAAAGAAGGCCGCACATACGCATCACATGGTATCATGAGCACCTTCCTTCATGAGTAATTTTGACAAAGCTCAGTGGCTTCCAGCCTCCTTCAGGGCATTACACTGCTCTGGGGGCCTGGTGCGTCACACGGGACGTTTTTTGCCCTTGTATAGGTTCCTGGGTGGATTCCTGCCAGGTGCTGGATGAGAGGCACATGCGTGCTTGTGCAGTGCCTCCACTGAGATGCTGAGGTCTTCAGCATCTAAAAAACCGTGTTTCGTTATATCAGCCCTGTCTCAGAATTTTAATAGTTGACCCAAAAGCGCTACTTTGATTGGTTCAGATAACTGCCGTTTCTATGTACCTATATCTGTGGTCGTAAAACCAAAATTTCCTGCAGATTTGGAAAGCTGAGGTCCTTCTTTTTAGCTGACAAAATACATTCTTTGATTGTTCTGTCTCTGCATTTTGGGCTCACCATATAAGAAAAACAGGAAGATTTTGGCACCCAGAGCAAGCTTGGTCTTAATCCTGTCTCAGTCACAGGTTGGAGACATGACCTCTCCTTGGTCCAGGTCTTCTGGTTGCAAACCTCACTCCAGGGCAGTGTTAGGTCAGCGTCTGTCCACACAACCCAGGCACTGAGCATTGAGCATGGCGCCAGTGCTCGCGGCAACAGCAGCATACTCTGGTTGGCTGTCAGGGCGAGCAGCCCTCTTGTCATAAGCCTGCCTCGGGCCTTCCCTCGGGTCCAGCCGGTCTGCCAGCCAATGGTGAGTAGGGTCCGGCCCAGGAAGCAAAGAGGTTGAGGGTGTTTGCCCCACAGCTTCTTTCCTGGGTATCATGTGGTGAGTAGCTGCACATTTTAACAAACATTATTTTCTCTTACATGTTACTCAACACTTGTTTGAAACATTTTTGTTAACCTTACAAATATTTCACTGACGTGTGATTTTACAGGCAGGAAGCGTGATCATTTTATGGTGGATTGGCTGTTTTTCTTATTTCCCACGCAAGATTGTAATCCCAGCTGAAATGTTTTAAGAGGGCAAGGAGGGTACAATACAGTACTGTTAGTTACTTACCACTCAAGAGACTGGGCCTCAGCTCCTGGGACGGGAGTCCATCAGCCAACTGAGTCTCTACTGGTCTCTTCCACTGCATCTTTGCTCCTCAGATACGGTTTGACGTTCCAGTGAGGACACCTGTGAGTGGAGCCTTCCTTCCAGTGGTCTCTTAAAGCCTTATGGCTAAGCAAGCACTGGCCGCTGGATTTGCCATCTACAGGCCACCTGCTGTCCTGTCCTGTCCTGTGTGGCCACTAGCTTTAGGTGCCCATCGTGCTTTTCTCATTGTATACTTTTAATCCTGGTAGTTAAAGAAGGGAGGAAGAAATAAGAGTTACTTAAAGCATGACTTTTGATGAAATTAAGTGCTTTTGAAAAAGTAACATTTAGAGAGTGAAGATGGGGTTTGATCAGAAGCCAAAAATGTTCATTATCTCAGTGGTATGACCGTGATTTTCTCCTGTACATTACCTGATAACATTTTGAGACTTGTTCATTACAATTAAAATGAAGGCTCAGTGTGTACTTCTCATTATTGTTAGTAGCTATAATGTTTAAAGTCTGAATGTCTGCTGAGATGCCCATGCCTGTAGCCCGTGGCTGCACAGCCCTCGCGCTTGGCTGTGTTCCTTACAGAAGCCATGTGGACAGGACAGGTGGATTGTGCTGAGCACAAAGAGAACTTGAAATGTTAATGTGACTGTGTTATGATGGTGACCACGTACAGGGTGAGTGACAGGCGGGAGCAGGTAACCAAACTGAGCCCATTGGCTAAATCTTGCCTGGGTCCTCCAGATGAGGTCACATTCCAGATTTTATTCCTTGGCCTGGAGGTACTTCACTACCTGGCTATCTGACTCTGACCCCCTTCCCCTGCCTCACTCCCACCTAGACCACTACTGCTACCCTTCTCTCCCCACACACTCACAGCACCCAGGGCTTCTCTTCCTGCTCCTGGGGCCCACATGCACCTGCTCCCTCCTGCTCAGGTGGAGATGCTTACCCCAAAGGAACTAAGCCAGGTACGGAAAGACAAACACTGCCTATTCTCACTCATACGCAGGAGTTAAAAACACCTCATTGCAAGTCCATGCAGACTGGGGGCTGCCAGAGGCTGGGAGGGGTAGAGGGGGGAGGGGGTCTGGCACCAAGTGCCACAGGTAGCAGGACCAGGCTCTAGTACTTTGAAGCACATCGGGGCATTGTAGCTCGCACCTGTTCCTCATGGCATAGCCAGAAGAGAGGACCTCCAATGCTGGCTTGATCATTACACATTATATCCTGATCCCACATCACACTGGCCCGTAAATGTGTGCAATTCTGTGTTTATCAAAAAGAAATGCCCACACAAGCTCACGGAGACATTGCCTAAGGATGCTCACTCCAGCATTTGTTTAATAATTTTTTAAAAAATGGAAATAGTTCAAATACCCATTAGTGTGGAGTTAGGTACATGGTGTTTTCACTAGGCACACAGGTTGTGTCCAAGTCCAGGTTTTTGACCCTGTTAGAGTGTGCATCACAGACATTATCTGATTTCAGGAAGGCGTCCCATCTTCTGACTGCTGGCAGTCACCCATCTTTTCCACCCTCTCTTTTGCCTGCAGCCCCTGGCAATCATTGATGTGCTTCTGTCTGTATAGGTTTGGCTTCTCTGGGCATTTCATGTAAATGGAACCATACAGCATGTGGTCTTTTGTAAACAGTACTTTTTTGCATGTGGTGTTCATCCATGGCATAGCATGTAACAGAACCCTCTCCTTTTTATTGCTGAGTAGTATTGCTGTACACGGATATGCTACAATAATGCTCCTTTATATGGTACACCAGAGTTCATTCATGGAGCCCGTGGTTGGTGGGCACTGAGGCAGTTTCCTCTTTGGGGCTATTACGAACAGTGCCACTGTGCCATTTGTCTGTGGTGTCTAGTGGACCTCGGTTTTTTTCTCTGTTTCCCGGGTTAATCTTGTGACTCTGTCTTCCCAAAGTGATTGCTCTGTAAAAGTTCTTTTAAATTACGTCTTGACTTGATAATATTACGACTTCTAAAATAACCAGTGTCTTTTCTCCAGGGTCAGCAGTTCCCTGCATTGCTCACAGACTCGTCTCTCTCTGGCCAAGGGGGAGCCGGCTCGCCTCAGGTCATCTTAGTGAGCCACACCCCTCAGCCACCCTCAGCCACCTGTGAAGAAATAGCCTACCAGGTACGGCAGTCTCCACTCTCAGACTCAGTGGGGTAGGATGGCCCTAGGGCCACGTGAAGTGCCCAGGCCATGGGCAGGTCTTGAGGTGCCGAGCTCTGTGGCCCTAAACTGCCTGCCAGGAGGCTTGGCTGTTGGGCAGAATGGGGTCGCACCACACACCTAGACGTGGAGGCTCCGGTAAACCTGAGATTGCTTCTTTTTGCTTGCTGCTCAGACTGCGGGTAGCAACACGTTTACTTGTGTTTAGTTCTTTTTGCAAACTGCCTGTGACACATTTGCTGATTCTTTTAAGACTTACTATGCTGTTTCTCACACAAACACACACACACACAAACACAACATAAACACGCACACACAAACACGCGCACATAAACACACACACACAAACACGTACACACATGCACAAACACGCATAAATACACGCACATAAACACACACACACATAAACGCACATAAACGCGCGCATAAACACGCACATAAACACGCACACAAACACGTGCATAAACGCACACAAACACACGCAAACACGCACACACATGCACAAATACCCATAAACACATGCACATAAACACACACACATAAACACACGCACACAAACACACGCACACAAACACGGACATACAAGCACACACATGCACAAACATGCATAAACACACGCACATAAACACGCACACAAACACGTGCATAAACACACAACACACAAACACGCACACGCATGCACAAACACGCATAAACACACACATAAACACACGCACATAAACACATGCACATAAACACGCACACACAAACACGTGCATAAACACGCGCATAAACGCACACAAACACACGCACACACACAAACACACACACATAAACGCGCACGCATAAACGCACACACATGTGGGGATGGGAGCTGTTCTCACCTCTTTCTTTAAAGTGCATGTTTTAGGGGCCAACACTTTGTATGAGCAAATGATTGTCCAGACAGAAGGAACCTCCTCAAGTCAGAATTAAAGTACAAATAACTGGGTCCTTGAACTCATGAACCATTAAACTTTACATCTCAGCATTTTTAGCAGTCACCGGATTTTCACCAGGACAAGAGCATTGTCACAAAGTGATTAGAAATGAGCGGCACCAGGGATTGCCCCAGTTGGTCTCAGCAACTGGAACTCATGGAACTCCACAGCAGACACCCACGGGATGCGGAGATGTGCTCTTGTGGTCACAGTAGAAGAATCCCCCAGAGGGAAATGCAGATGGGGTGAAGCCCAGGAGGACTCAGGTGCAGAGCCCAGGTCCAGTCGCACCCCACAGGAGAGTGTGACGGACAGCGCCATTTGTCCCAGCAGTGGCATGAGTGCACTGCCAGGTGCAGGCAGGCAGATAGGCATGGAATATCCCTGTGGCTGGTTTAGCTACCCAGGTCAACAGGTGGAGGGAGGCCTAGATCCTTAGGCTGTCAAAACCAGGTGTTCACCATAAATCACACTGTTAGCAAAAGTGTCTGGCTTGGCCCAAGGTACCAGGTATTTCAAAACCCTCCTATCTGGCAGGGTGCCCCAAGTCTTACATCTCAGGAGCTCTTCAAAGTACGAGGTAGGGGTCCAGCACTCCAGCCCTGCTGAACAAGCTGTTTACCGGACACATTGATTGTCAGATGGACGTTGCTTCCTTAGTTTTAATCTGTCATTCAAGATTAGGCACACCTTACCCATTCCCTGAATTTAGGTGGCAGGTAAATGAAAGTACTTTGCTGTTTCTTTGCCAGTACCATGTATGTGTACGTGTACAAGTATAACACATGTATCACTGTTTTTGGCAGCACTGGTGTTTGGACTCAGAGGCTCATGCTTGGTAGGCAGACGCTCTTACTGCTTGAGCCACTCCGCCAGCCCAACTTTGCTGTTTCTTAATTCAACTTTCAATTTAATGTAACTATAATAATGTTTGTAGAGTATTCCTGTGTTAAACTTTGTTTGAAATTTTCCCAGGTGATATATTCCACATTAGCTTCCGTTTGAGTAGTAGGTGTAATGTGATAAATCAGATACTGAAATGTGGTCTAGCTGTGATTTTTTAGTGTATAAAAAGCCATCCAAACCTAGGCACTGGGTGCTCTTCAGCCCCCTTGCTCGGAGTTTGCCCCTCCTTCCTTAGGGAGTGTACTTGCAACTTTTTGCTTCCCTCTCGAGAAAAACTCTGCTGCTGCTTTGTAGGGCTGGGGATAAATTAAAATGTTAAGGTTTAACTATCAGGATGAAGTAGGTACCTTATTTGTATAAGTGGGCAACAAGAGAAGTCATGTCGGGTGTGCCCTGTGGGTCTCCTGTTAGGACCCAGCTGTGTGCCGCCAGGAGTTGGCTTTAATCTTGGTGTAATTCAGCCTGGTGCTCTCTTGCGCACACAGACTCGTGGAGCCTCTAGACTTCGACACCTGCCTGGCTCACTTGCGCCCATGCTTGTGGCTGGAGGCTGGCCTTTTCATCCGTTGTGGAAGTGGCCCCGTTTGTTTCTCTTGCTCCAAGATCTTGTTGTAGGGAGAGAGTAGGCCTCTGTGTGAAGTCCTGATTTTAAAACAGGTGGTTTTAGGACAACCCCATGGGTAGGTCAGACGGACAGGGAATGTGAAGTCCTTGCGTCTGCATATGTCTTGGCACAGAGTTCAAGTCCAGCTGGCAGCATCCTGTGCGGTCAAGGTGGGTCAGGCCTCACTGGCCTTTAGCCAGCTCCTACCAGCACAAGCCTTCTCTTACCTTTCTCTTGTTCCTTGGTGGGTCATCTGAAGAGGAGTCCATACTGGTGTGACAAGATCTATATTCTCAGTGTAACACTGTCTTGCTCACTGCAAGTACCCTATCACCACTTTGGAAGTAACTGAGATTACGGGTGTGCACTACTGTACCCAGCTCACTTTTATTTCTTGACCGCATGGACTTTGTGCTTCATGGGAGTGAGTTCACCCTCCTTCACATGTGCACAATAGCCTGTTGTATGAAGCAGAGGACTTCTGGCCCTGTCGTAGTGTGTGTCTCAGGGACTTGAAAGTCACCTGCGCACTCTGTTACATGTTGCTTCTCCTTTGGCAAGTGTGGGTGATTCTCACCCATTTCCGTTGAGACGCAGCACTCCTGTATTCAGGTTTCCAGAGGCCTGCGGCGAGGAGGATGAGCGGAGTGTGGCAGGCTCTGCCACACAGTGGTTGAGAAGCCAGTGACTTAGAAGTCTTGCTTCTGATGTCCTGCTCGACTGGTTCTTGGTTATGCTGCTGATTATTTTGTGCAAGTAGTTTTTAAAGCTTAGTTGGTTTTTCCTTGGGTAATGTCAACAAGATACTGACCTCTCGCTTCTCATGAGTGAAATGTTTGATTCAGAAATCATTTTTTCCCATCCAAGTACTAAGAGGGCCAGCCCTACTTAGCTTCTGAATTCAGAAGAGATGGGACGCATTCTGGGTGGAATGGCATAGACCCAAATCGTTTTCTGCTTGTCAGTCACTCTGGCTTCTGGTCATTTAACCTTGATATTTACCTCACGTGGAGACTTGCAGGCAACACCATCAACCTCAGGATTTTGCTTCAGTTGTGCCCTTTGCTGGAATCATTTCTTTTAATCGCTTGGTCTTTTTCCATACTGAGGATCAAAGTCATGGCCTCAGGTGTGTGAGGCAAGCACTACCACTGCAGCCATGCAACTAGCCCAGTTACAGTCTTTTTTTTTGCCCCGCAGCACTGTGGTTTGAACTCAGCCTCATGCTTGCTAGGTAGGTGCCCTACCACTTGAACCACTCCGCCAGTCCAGTCGCATAGTCCTTTATATGAAGTTACAGAACAATCTTTTTATCATTTTTTTGAGTTTTTCCAACTTTTTTAACTCACAAGAAATACATTCTCACAAGAAATATTCTTAAAGGATATTTGAGGTTTTGTCTTTTTTCTTCACATACACAGACACATGTACACACACTTGACAGTTGTCACAGAGTAATACTTTTTCTGGGCGTGCCATATCTTTGCACCTGTTTCTCTTCTTGCACAGACTAACAGCACTAGAGTCTGCTGTAGAGAGCTTTTCTTGCTGTATTGTTCTTTAATACTGTCCACTTCTGCATATTCTGATATTAGAAAAGTTTGGTAAAGTGGGAATAAAAATGACAAGTCCCATAAATTTTCTTTATGATTCTTTCATCAAGTCATCACAAGCTTAAATCTGCAAAACCAAAGTCTGTTGTTTATATAGTTGAGAAGTAGTTAACCCCTCCTACTTTATTTATCATCTTTCTAAGTGATGAAAACATCCTGGTAAAGTGACTGATTTTGAAACCTGCTCATTGGTTGGGATCCACCGTTTGGGGAAAATGCATTAGTGTGAACACCATTTGCTACTAAGGAGTGTAGTGCAGTTGGCTGAGGAAGACCTTCTGCCAAAGCAGCGGCATCTTTGAAGCAGTGCTGTTGGTCCTTGTTCCAGCTTCTGCCACGTCAGTGTGAATGAGAGCTTCCTGTGTGCGGCTGTGTGGCCAGCACCTTCCGCGGTCTCCTTTAGTCTTCCCCAGGCCTGTACTGGGCATTATGGCGCCTCAGTGTTTCTCAGCTGAGGCAGCAGGCAACTGTTGCTGAGCACTTAGCCCAAAGTGGCAGAGTTGGAGCTGTGCACAAACCTGGTCAGTCTGACCCAGAGATTCCCCTTAACCCTTCTCTTGGCCAGCACATTGCAAGGACTCCAAGGCAGCTATGTTTTCTGGTCTCCTAGAAAGTTGAAGGAGTCTGTAGTAACTTCACTGAGCTGGAGAAACATGGGCCAGCTTCTCCATGTTAGGCACATGCCTGCTACTAGCCTGTTCGTCTGGCAGCTTGCAGACCACACTAGCCTAGTCATCACTAACTTCTGACTTGCTGCAGGTGACTGACGTCTCTGCCCACCTGACCCCAAGCAGCCAGCCTGAGAAGGAGAGCCCAGCACACCAGTGCCTGGACTGCGACCGCACCTTCTCGTCAGCTGCAGTGCTGATGCACCACAGCAAGGAAGTCCACGGCAAGGAGCGCGTCCACGGCTGCCGTGTCTGCAGGAAGGCCTTCAAGCGTGCCACACACCTCAAGGTACGCCAGGAGCTGCGGGCAGCCCTCGGTTAAAGGCATCCCCATCCTGCTGGTGGAGGTGAAAGACCTGACCGTATGTACCAGATTGTTTGGGTGTCATAGGTCAGTTGTGTACAGATGGATAGACTGTGTATCCACGTGCAGATCAAAATCCACTTCTGCCGTACATTGAAATAACATCAGAACAGCTGTCCTCACTCCCTAGGCTGACAGAGATGTAGAAAGTGGTTGACACCTATTTTTGAGACCATGGGGAAACAGACTTGTCATTATTGCTGGTGTCTGCAGTGTGACAGACTTGCCATAGGGGAATGATGACACCTAACAGAACGCATGCTCACTCACCTGGGGAGCCATCCTGCAGGTGCCTCTTTAACTGCACAGAATGAACATATGCAGGGCTCATGTTCAAGTGAAGGCGTGAAGGACAGACTCCCAAGGGAGGCCCTGCTGTGGTGGGGAATGAGGAAGTGTTCTGGGAAGGATCCAGGTGAGGCACATGACATGCAGCCCTTCTTCCTTTTGAAGGGAGCCATGTGGAATGGGTGAAAACAGATGGAACGCAGTGGACAAGTCTGACAAGTGCTACTGAACAGGTCAGGGGCCGTGCCCACAGTCACAAAGCATGTTGGGGCATGTCCTTGCTAGTGGGTGATGAGCACGACACTCTCCTTCCAAAACCCTTGATCTTCACCCACTCATGAGAAAAACATCAGACCTACAAAAGACATGAGGAGAAAAGACAGCTAAAGCGTGTGTCCTGGAGCACAGAGCGAGCTTCAGGGAAAGCTGAGTGAAGTGTAAGTCAGGTGTGGACTTTAGTTAGCAATAATATGTTGGTGTCAGTTCCTAATCACAACAGATGATCCATGCTAACAGAAAAGTTAGTGATGGGAACCTATGACTGCATGGGAGTGGAGGTAAGGGGCTCTGGATGCTTTTTCTGTAATTCTGAAACTGAAAGTCACCGTACCTGGAAGGCATGATGCAGCCCTGCCTTGCCCTTGTGGGGGTCTGTACTGTACACTTTTGCAGAGATACCCATCAAGGTTGACACTTCCTCTTTTGAATACTCACTCACCACAGGCCAGGCCAGGCCAGGCAGGCCAGCCTTGCTTGCTTTTTTTTTTTTTCTTTTTTTTTTTTTCAATTTGATGGTACGGTACTGGGGTTTGAACTCAAAGCTTTGTGATTGCTAGGCAGGTGCTCTGCTGCTTGAGCCACGCCACCAGCCACAAGCTCTTATTCCTCTGGGATTTCAACACTTCAGACGTTCCTTCTCACCTTCTCACCCGTGTGAGATGGTTGTTCCTGTGGGGATAAGGTCTTTCTAGGCAATCCAACCTTCTCCTCCTGATGTATATAGTGTTTCTGACACCCACCCTGCAGCCTGGGGTGTCCTGCCTTTAACAACAAAAGGTGACAGCAGCTGTATTTCATCCAGTTCAATCTTAGCTAGCCAGTGTTTTTACACAAAGAAGTTGTGGTTTTGTCCCTTTAGATACCCACAGGAAGGAGAGCGGATTGGATTAGAAGAAAGAGGGCCTAAGCTAACCATCAGAGGCTGCCTCTTCGGGGGTCAGTGGCAGAGTCTGTCCTAACAGGTACCTGTGAAGAATGATGGAGGCAGTCCTTTGCTAAGGCACAAAGGGTGGAATCTGTCTGCTCTCTGTCCACCCGGCCCTGGCCAGTCCACATTCCTGCACTGTGAGGCCCTCTCACCCACCTCCTGGCCTTGGATCCAGACCTCCTTTCCTATCTGCTTCTCCTAAAAGCCCTCCTTACCTCCCTCCCCACCCCCGTTACTTCTTAACTCTTACATCCACTTAGAGCACTGAGTTCCTCCTACTCACATCCTCTGAGTCTCTGCTTTCTATCATGGCCGCTGCAGAAAGTACAAGGAGTATCTGAGGTCACAGTGACAAAAAACATCTTTACCCCTCCATACTTCTCTAGACCAGTTGTAGTTGCGGTGGGGGTTTGCTTTGCTGGTGGTCTGCAGAGAGAATCAGGACTTCACTTATGGCCCCAAGGCCATGTCCTCCAGTGTCTCTAGTCTGCCCACCAGGGGAACCTGGCCCGTCATCACATGCTCAGCCCATCATTTTTTCAGCACATGTGCAGGAGCTGCCTTTGCCAGGCATGGGGCACTGCAGGGAGCAGGCACCCCCAGCTACTTCTGATGCCAGCACCCCCCACTTCAGCCAGTCACCAGTACCCTGGGAGAAGTGCAGCTCGCCAGTGTGTCTTGTGACACCATCAGTGCAAGCAGCATCAGGTTGGATGCTCCCCACGCTGGTCAGGTTGCCACAGAGCTTTCCTTCTGTGGAAATGCAGACCATCCGATGACTTCCCACATACACCTCATTCCTCCTGTCAAGTCAGCTGACATTAGGTGCCTACTGTGTGCAAAGAAACTGGTCCCAGAAGCAGCTGTCTTCATCCTCCGGGGGCTTAGCATCTATGTGACTATACTGAGGGTGCTAAGACTGAAAGGGTGTTAGCCAAAGTCAAGAGGGAAGAATGGCATCAGTTATGGCCCAAGTTCCTGCTCTGTGACAGGCCCAAACCCACCCCATTATAGGGAGGCCCCCAGCATCCGTGGCCCTTGTGGTGGGGAAGCCCCTGACCTCTGTAGAGCTCAGCTTTGTCATGTTCGTGCTCTTAGACCCACTTTGCAGGCTGTTGTGGACCTGGAGCCATACGCCACATGAAGCTGCAGTGGTGGACACAGTGCAGGCATCACAAAAGTTCACTTTCCACTGAATCCTGCTTTGAGAGAGAGGACAGTATAGACTAAACTCTCACTGGGTAACACGTACCTTGTGAATATGGGAAGGTGCCACCATGCCGAGTGGTTGTCAGGTCTCTGAGGAAGCTCCAGCCACATGCTGCGGGATCGATGACAAAGTGCTGGTCATGCAGTGACTTCTGCCTGCAGAGGGCGCGGGACTCGTGGAGCAGTAGTCATAGAACTGGAAGAGCCTACCCCAGAGTGGCAGGCATGTGGTGAGAATTGCCAAAGACAGTCCCCATTTCTCTGGGCCTTTTGGCTGATGCCACAGGCCTGTGCAGAATTGGCCGAGGACCATGAGTCCTGGGGCGCGGAAAAAGGCTTCATAGGGCTCCTCGCTGGATCCCCTGTGTGATGTCTGCACCTCCTGAGTCTTCCTTGCAGCTTGACAGAGAAGGTGCTGCTTCTCATTAGGACACGGAGTTGACCAAGGCCACAGGTCTAGTGAGCATTCTGCCAGCCTGAAGCTGGATATCCCTGAGAGTCCCAGACTTGTGCCCTCCTGTCACAGCCAGTGGGCTGCAGGCCCTGAAAACGGTCAAGCTGGAGCCTTGTGGTTTCCTGGCCACCAACTTGGATTTTTTTGATTTTTATTTTTTGGTGGTACTGGGGTTTGAACTCAGGACTTCACACTTGCTAGGCAGGAGCTCTCCCACTGGAGCCACTCTGCCAGCCCTTTTTGTGATAGGTTTTCTTGAGATGGGGTCTTGCAAACTGTTTGTCCGGGCTGGCTTCAAACCACCACCCTCCTGATCTCTGCCTTCTGAATAGCTAGGATTACAGGAGTGAGCCACTGGCGCCCAGCTCTGACTTGGATTTTTGTGGTGATTTGTTTCCCTTTGTTTCAAATCCCTGTGGCTCTGTAGGGTCTAACGTGCTCTTGGTTTCTGTGTTTTCTTCTAGGAGCACATGTTGACGCACCAAGCGGGCCCTTCGCTCAGCTCCCAGAAGCCCCGAGTGTTCAAGTGTGACACGTGTGACAAGGCATTTGCCAAGCCCAGCCAGCTGGAGCGACACAGCCGTATTCACACAGGTGAGGAGGTGTGCTGTGTGCTCCTCTTACTGCTCTCAGAAGTGCACCATCGCTGGTGAGAAAGCAGCATCCCCCATGGAACCATCCATTGTGATGTGCTGCATTACTTGCCACGTGAGCTTCGGAGCTCCACAGGTGTCCTCCTGTGGCTGGCTTGTGCCTCATCTTCAGGTTCGGCTTGCACAGCTATCCCTCAGAGGCCTCCAGCTACCAGTGCCCCAAGGTCAGTGTGGGCGCACTGCTCAGGTTGCCACTCTAGGTGCCATCTCCTCCGTGGGTCTGTGTCCTCCTCTGACCTGCAGGCACCGGGGGCTCATGTGCCTTATCGTAGGTTATGGCCTTGACTCTTGGCTCAGATTCTGGTGCCCACCAGAGGTGCAGCACGTGGGTACTGAGTGAAACACAAGCACTTGTGCTGTAACCTCCTAATGTTCTTGCTGAGACAGTGCAGAGACACTGCTGCTTGCCACAGAATGAAGCGGCTGTGTGTGAGGGCTTGAAGAAACCCACTCAGCACTGGCCTGTCGGGTAGATGTGCACAGCTGCATAGTGCTGTACGCACCTTTCCAGTCTAGGGCAAAGCTTGGGTCAGGGCCCTGGCGAGTGTGTGCTGTAGAGCTGTGGTGAGAATGCAGGCTGCGGCCCGGCGCCACCCAGAGGCTGCATGCCAAGGTCACCGTTCTGCCTCAGCCTGGAGGTCTGTGTGCTTTGAAAAGCATTTCTGTCACATCTGCAGCGATACAAATACTTAATATTTAATGATACGTGTCTGGTTGCAATACAAATCTTTTCATTCTGGTTTCTTCAGTATTCACTGTTAGTCGAATGGTGAGCCAGTAGCCGTTTAAATATTTTCGTTTGACTTTCAAAAATTACAATGTATATCCGTTTTTGAGTCTTCCTCTTTTTCCTCCGTCATTAGACTGTGTGGCAGTAGCATCTGACCTGCTGTATCGTCTGTGGCTGTGTGGATGGTGGCTCTATAGAAGTTCTGATTACGACATCATTCAGTGTCATAGTCTACGTTTAATTAGTAGATCTCCTGTGCCCTGCATGTTTTGGCATGTTCTCATTTTGGGGTGGACATGCTGTCTAGGTTCTCCTCCTCTGTAAAACGACTCGGCACCCCCATGAGACCTGTGGGATGGAACTGGGCCCACAAGCCAGAGCCTGCGTGTTTCGTGCCTCTGAAGCTCTCAGATAGTCAGAATAGTGTCCTGGGCTGACCTGTGCTTTCCCTGTGACTGCCCTCACATCTCTCACCTCCAAGGTGCTGGAGACATTTCATAACTGTGTTTTAAGTCACACACACTGCCTGAGCCTTTGAAAGATGCCTGGGGAGGGTGGCATTCCTCCTGCTTTGTTCCAAAGCAGCCTTATCAGCTTTACCACATGGTGGGTTACCTCACAGTGCTCAGGATCGGCAGTGCAGCCTGCAGGGACAGTTTCCTGCCCAGTGCCCCACAGGCTGGAGTTGAAGCACAGCCCTTGCTCAGGGTGCTCTGAAGAGGAGTCTGTTCCAGGCTCATCCCAGGGGTTGGCAGAACCCAGCCTCATTGGGTGTGGAATACTCTCATCCAGAGAAGCTGCTTGGAAGAGCTGTGTGGTTAGCTGGGGCCACTGCCCATCTCCCCTCCTGCCCAGAGGCAGTCAGTGAGTGGCCTTACTTCCTCACTGCCCTTTGTGACTGGAGCAGCTGGAGGCCCGAAGTCACAGCATGTCACAGTGGAGTGGGCTAGGCAGAAGCCTTGGGGCCAGTTTTAGATCTCTGCCTCCTATAGTGGGCTGGGATAAAGCCTCATGTGCCACGGGCACAAAAGTGAAGGAAGAACAAAGCCAGCATGGCACACGGTCAGAACCTACCAACCTGTGAGCAGTATGGGGCTCAGGTGTGCATGAGTGAGCTGGGAGGCTGCCTTGTAGAGCAGGTGGGGAAGATCCTTGTAGGCAAAGAGGAGAAGCCATTTCAAACCCAGGGGACACATATGGGCTAGAGGGTCTGACCCCCAAGGAAGCAGGAACCTCATGGCCTGCCAGGTAGAGAGTGAGATCCAATGTGTGGTTTGTGTGTGGAGTTTATACAGGCAGCTCTCAGCAGGCATCAGACTTGGCAGCTCTTCCTTCCACCATTCAATTTTCGATGTTCACTGCAAAGCAATTACGTAACATTTAAAAATGATGTCATACTTTTTATTAAGTGGATTTGGTATTCTTATGTCCAAGTGTCTTTTTCTGTATTGTACAAAGTGTATCAGGATCATTTTGTTGAAACTGTGTGTGTCCTTCTTTCTGGACAGTCACGGTTTACTTTGGCAGAAGTTCTGTTTTGTGTCAGCATGGAGTGGCTTTGTCAGAATCCTGCTGATCATACTCCTAGTGATGGCAGCAGCAGGGGGATCACTGATCTTTTTAAGAATTGTGCACCTCTGCGGAGTGAGTGCTTTGTCTGTGCTGACCCTGACACGGGGCTTTCTGTGCACAGGGGAGCGTCCATTCCACTGCACGCTGTGTGAGAAGGCCTTCAACCAGAAGAGCGCGCTGCAGGTGCACATGAAGAAGCACACCGGGGAGAGGCCCTACCGCTGTGACTACTGCGTCATGGGCTTCACGCAGAAGAGCAACATGAAGCTGCACATGAAGAGAGCGCACAGCTTCGTGGGTGAGCCCTGCCCCACGCAGCCATGCATGGGGTGGCAGAGGCCGCCGGCCACTTTGCGGTGTTACTTTCTGTGCTTGGCACAGTGGCTGTGCATTGTGCACGGTACAACTGCAGTTTCCAGAAGAAGGAGACTTAGTTTGGAGAGGCCGTGAGTGGGGATGTCAGGAAGGGGAAGAGCAGGTTGGAAGCCTGTTTTCTTCCTTCCTCCCTTCTCTTCTCAACAGTGTAGCCCAGGCTGGCCTCAAACTTGTGATCCTCCTGCCTCAGCCTCCTGATCACTTAGATTACAGGTCTGAGCCATCAGGCCTGGCTCCAGACCGAGCTTTCTGCAGTGAGCAGTCAGTGCCTGGGCTTCCGCCCAGCATTGCCACATCTACCTCCACAGCATTTCTGGAGGCCCTCTCTCTGCAGTGTGCAGATCAAGTGCTCAGGAGCCAGTGTCAGCCCGGCAACCGTGTGGGCAGGTGGGGTCTGCAGCATCTGTGCAGAGGACTCCTACGTGCCTTCTGTCTGCTCAGCACAGAGCATGCGTGGGCCTCTGTTTCTCTTTGTTGGTCCAGCTAGTGTTGATGCCACCAGAGCTGGGCTGTCAGGGAGGGAGTGATGTGCTGCCCGTTTCCCTCAGGTCCTCATGGTTTCCCACACAGTCTAGCAAGAGGGCCTTGATTGAAGAAGAAATGACAGTAAATAGCCTAGGCCAGGCTGTGCTGGTAGTAGTTGCTTTGTAAAGGAGGAGTTTGAAATCCTAAGTGCAGTGACTATGCTGTGATTAGTGAGCTTACAGGTGTATGTCTCAAGTCCTCTGTGAGTGGAGGTAGATGGCCTGCTGTGATCAGTGGGGTTGCATCAGGCACATTGAGGAGTCCAAGGGGGTAGACATTCACACTCGGGGGGTTTGAGGAATGGAAGGTTCCTGTTCTCAGTAAAGTCTGCAATGTCCACACCACAGGGCTTCATTGATTATTAGTGGCTCATCACAGCCTTTATCAACGGGTACGTACCGCTGTGTGCTCCATGTGCATGCCCCCATTGCAGTGGCTGTGACAGGCATATTTAACTCAGTGCTGGGGCTTAGCTCAGTGGTAGAATGTGTGCTTGGCATGCAAAGTTCCCTAACTTCAACCCAGCACTGCACCCACGAATGCTCACCTGGCTCAAGTTACTCCTTTGTCACTGGTGTGGAAAGCAAACCGAGCTAGAGGTTTCCTGCCAATTTCTGGGGGTTCTTTGTTAGAGGTGAGTTCTGTCATGCTCTGAGGCCTGCTTTCTCTCTGCCACTGCAGGAACCTTGCAGGGGGCCACTGTGGTCCAGGAGCAGGATGGGGAGGAGCTGAGGACCCTCCATCTGGAAGAAGTGGTTCAAGAGGCAGCGGGCGAGTGGCAGACCCTCACCAATGTGTTCTGATGCTGCAGAAGGGGCCTGAGAGCCTTCCTGAAGCTACGTTTATGAAGAACAGAGCACTTGGAATTTCTGTCTTAAAGCTTCAAGTGTTAAAAATCTACCACATTAGTTTTTTAGCTATAAAATTATCTAAAGAATCATTGTCCTTCAGAGACTTCCCGGAAAAAACTGAGAACAATGTAAATGCGTATTGTCACTTGTCTGCAATCACTGAACTCAGGTACTACAATAGTCTCTTCCTTCTTCTCCATGGCCAGTGTACCAGTTAACAGGAAATTAACTGGATCTTGTGATCATTGTAGTGTGATTTCTTTGTATTAGCAAAGACAGAGTTAACATGGAAAAAGTATGTGAGATCTCCCTTTATGCTTTCTGTTATAAGAAGCATCGCTTACAGAACACGCAAGGCAGGTGCGTGCAGTTCCAAAACAGTGTCATTACACACAGGGATGTTTGTCCACTTCGTATTCTTTATTTTGAAAATTAGTGGTAGTCTACTCTTTTTATCCCACCTTAAGTTATACAACGGATGCCTTGAGAGATGGCTGGCCCATTCTCTCTGTATCACAGACGTCTCGTCTCTAGTTAGAGGAACGCAGGACCTGGGGTGCCAGCAGGTGGGGTGGAGGCTGACCTTCCACACAGACAGTGTCATGCTGGCTGCACTTGTGTGTCCAGGCCCGTTGGTTAGATCACTGTAGAAGGCAGGCCTGTGCCACGAGCAGGAAGTGGCAGGTGTCTCCTGTCCATTTCAGCAAACAAGTTTATCTGTAGTTTGAGGGTGAGGACACGCAGGAGCCCCTCAACCTTCTCCTCGTGCACAAAGAGGTGTTTTCACTTCAGGGAATTCGTAGCTGTCGTCAACAGCGCCACATGAGGCACGGACGTCCCAAACCAAATCCCTCCCGTGCTGGGCACCGTGTGCACCGTGCCCACGGCGTTCCAAAGATGGAAGGTTCTCCAGTGGGTGTTAATTCCCTTGAAACTATTTATATGTCCTATATGTAAATACATGTGTACATAGACAAGTCCATGGGCCTCCATGTGGCTGAGCAGTATATTTTGTAAATAGAAGCACTAGTCCCCATCACGAGCGCACTCAGATCGATGTGTGTTCATTTTAAATAAATGGATATCTTTTTCACTGTAACATAAAGCTGGGTTCTATTTTTTTTCTGAAAAATAATTGCCTTTATTTTCTCTCATTGCCGCCTTGGTTTCATAAGAGAGCAGTTTTATTATAAGTGTTGTAATGACCTTGTCCATTAGGAGGACACCTTTCAGGTTCCTAAAGAAGGAGACATTTCACTGTTACTTGGAAAGGACATCTTTTGATTTTGTTGTCCACTTTGGGCACCTGTATATATTACTGATGGTGACATGAAAACTTTTGTTATGTGAAAATATTTAAGTCAGAAAGCTGTTAAATAATATCACCTTTTTTCAAATGGCTTTGTGTATTGTATATTTTTTTAAAGAAAGAAAAGCCTTATTTGACTTCCTGTGATACTGGACTTGTAACTCCCCGGGCCCTGAATGTGTGCCTGCACCTGGCTGTGGCAGCATTTTCAGAATGGTCGTGACTGTGCGAGAGTGAGAAAGGCTCTGCTCCTAGTGCACTTTTTCTTTTATGATCTTGTATTAAAGTGTTTTAGAAATGTTGATTAATTTTAGTGAACAAATGTCCCCAAAGTTGAAATTATTGGCATTTAAAATTTTTGTTCTTGCTGGATTATTTATTTTGTTAGCATTACATGTCATCTCAGGACATCTGTAAAAGGTTGTTTAGTTCCTGATTGTGTAGAAAGCACAGTGTGGTGACTGTCGGTTAATTGCCTGTTTAAGTAAGGCCTTAACAGATGGATCTGAAGCCTACTTTTATTTTGGTTAAAGAAAAAGAAAAAAAAAAATCTACCAGTAATCTGTTTTGTATCTTTTCAGTTTATTTGCAGGCAGACACAAGACGTTGATGTGTTTGATTTTACTTCCTGGTGATAAAAGCTGCTTGTCTGCGACACATTCCTTGAAAATACAAGGCTTTGAAAACACACGATCTCACTTGAATCTTTGTGGTTTACAGGTTGATCTTTGTCCTTTGCTGTTGGGTTGAAGCTTTGTTTTAGGAGAGAGATTTCTAGCCTCTCGTGTAACCAGGGACTGGATGAAAGAGAGCTGAATTTTAGAACTATCTCACCACAGCACATCTGCTTTGAAATAACTATAAAAGCAAAATGATGTTAGGAAATGGGACTGATTCTTCCCTTTAGCATATTTCAGAATAGTTTGGCATGGGAATCAATTTCAAGTTCAGGTATTTCTCATGGAAAGAAATGTTTGTGAGTGTTTCCTTTACCTGTGTGACGTCCACACAGTGAAGTTCTCCCTTCCTGAGCACTCTGAAGAACTCAAACTACGAATTGGAATGTGGTTTGTGACAGCAAGTCTGTGTATCAGCACAGTCCCACCCATGTGCCACCTGTGCCCTGTCATCAGCAGCCACTGCACTGAGCAATGCACAGTCACTCGGGTCCCTTCTGAAGGGTCCTGTCACTAAACTTCATTCATGGTGAAGGGACTGTTAAATCACTGATGAACCTGGAAGCTGCCGACTCCTTTCCAAGGTCACTAACCTTAAGTCTGGGCACAGCTAAGGAGGCCAAGGTGTCAGGGAGGATGTCCGTGGACAGACTGTGTACCAGGACTGGAGGCTAAAGTGGAAACATGCTCTCCAGGGGTAGCCCGAGTGTTTCCCCATGGTCCTGGGCCTGCCCTCCCAGGCTGGTGTGTGTAAGGAGAAGAACAGAGGGAGGAACCAGCCTGCCTAAGCCGGGCCCAGTGGGTGGGCTTGCAGAAAACCCAGCTGTGAGTTGTTCCCTGGTGCTCAGTGCTCACCAGGGATGGCGTCTTTAGTGTGTGGTCTTTTGCCCTCCCTCTCTCGTCTGAGTTTTGAAGTTACAGCTGGGTTCTGTGCCTTCCTCCACACTCTCACAAATGCACGAGAGAACCACATGTCAGTGCAGTACAGGTTTTGGAAAGTAGGTTTTGCTTCTTCCTGTGAATTTTCCTCTTTGTGAAGGTCAGTCGTAACTCATTGAGCCATCTCAGCACTGAGTGACATCACAGATGTGTGTAAGAAGTGTCATAAGGAAGCACACGAGGCCTGTAGAAATGCTTTCTGGCTTCTCCCTAGAAAGAGTGCATGCCTCCTCCTTGCACAAGTTTGTTTCTTTTTCCTCAAACCTGTGAAAGTCCTCACTGAGTGTGAATCTGGGGGGTGGGAGCTGCCCTGTCCTCAGCCTCCTGAATGGTGAGGGTGGCAGAGAAGAGGTCACGCAGCCACACTTCCCAGTCTAGAGCTGTCCTCTCCTTCTATCATGTAGCTGCTTTGCACCTTTTAGCACACGACTTCAAAAGAAACTCCCATGCCTGTTGGCCCACACCCTTGGCCCAGCTTGGCGTCCCATGTCTGTCTGGGGCCCTGCATGCTTACCTTGTCATAAAGAAAAACTATTTTGAAATAGAGTTGCATCTTCACTGTCTAAAAATCGGGCACCAAAATTTACAGGAGCACATCCTTCACAGTGACATTTCCTCATCCTCGGTGGGGCTACTGAGAGCCACAGTTGGATTTGGCATTGCTTATCTCCTCTGAGTCGCCCCCTTGCTCAGACACTCCCACGCTTTCTTCTGCCTCACACCACCACCCACCTGTGGCTCTGTGGTCGACTTATATAGATAGCTAATGAACACTAAAAGCACTAAAAAATAAAAGTTTTATTAGTATAAATGTCAGGATCAATAGGCAGTAATCATAAAAGATTTTTCTATTTAATCTTTTCTATGTGTAACGCTTTACAGCATGAAGACTTTTGTATTAAATCAAGATTTGTATTACATTTGACAGTTCTAAAATGCCAGAGTGATTGTCTTGAGTCACCACTAAAGAAAATTTAAATTTAATTTTTTAATTTATAGAAGAGTTCTCTTTTTATCTTCAGATTGTCTCATGGTGTATTTATACATTGGATGATATTTATTTAATCCAGTTTTGTATTAGAAATGGACAGTTATGCCAGAAGTCACTGTGCTGGCTTTTACAAATAATAAAAATAGTTTTTGTATTATTTTAAAACCCCTGTACATGTACTTATTGGGACTTGGGGGTGAGTGGCAGCCATTTGCTGCTGAGGGACCATTCAGCATGGGTTAGCACCATGTGACCGAGTGTGGCAAGTCAGAGGCCCGTGGCTTAAGCTGCCTTCCAGGGGTGTCCAGAAATGGAATGAAATCCATTGGCGTGAAGTCATGGTACCACCTTTCTGTTGATGGCCTACACAGGACAGGACTCCCTAGAATATCTGAGGAGTTAGTTCATAGCGTCCGACCCTCTCAGTATACATTTATGGCTGTTTCTACTGAGTGTCACATTTCCAGGCTGGCAGGAGTCTGCAGCCCATAGCCATTCTTCTGGCTAAAGAACAAGGACGCCTGTTCTTAGAGCATTGTACCCCAGCGTAGTGTGGGGACAGCAACTGAGGTGACCTGGACTTACCGGACGTGGGGAGAAGCTGCCCTGCCACTCAAGGCTCATCTCTGCAGGAGGCTTAGCTCTGATGGGTTTGAAATGTGTGTGGGGGGGGTTGCAGGGGGGGTCTTCTGTTTATTGGCCACATTATAAAAAACACGTTCCTACTATAGTGGATTGTGTCAACTATTTAAAGTGTTTTCCCAGTGAGCCTTCCCAGAATGCCTGACTCTGAGAGAATATCTGTGTACTTGCTTGAACGACTAAAGGGACTGAGGAGTGGGGGACATGCCAGTCAAGGGCTGGCCCAGGGCTGCCTGTCTCACATACAGTTCTTCTAAGCTCTCGTTCAGTCACCTTTCTCGTTTAATAATCCAAAGTTCATCTTTTTTGTGAACTTGTATTTTTGAAACAACTTTAAAGTTGCAGAGAAGCTGAGAGGACAGTAGACTTTCCACATACAGTCAGCTCCGTTGTGGCTTCCACATTCTCACATTCAACTAAGCGTGGATAGAAAGTATTTTTCTCTTTGTTTGGGCAGTACTGGGACTTGAACTCAGAGTCTTTCACTTGAGCCATGCCTCCAGACCTGGTTGAAAATATTTTTTAATTGCATTTGTATTGGATTTTTCTCCTCAATAATTGTAACACTGTATTTTTTATGTAAATGTTATTTACATAGCATTCATGTTGCATTAGGTATAGCAAGTGACCTAGAGATGCTGTCAGGTGGAGAGGACTGTGTGGTTCCGTGCAGAAACAGCACCATTTTATTTTAGGGCTGCGAGCATCTACAGATTTGAGCATCTCTGGGAGGGATGTGCACTGGTCACTTTGACCCTACTCAAGTGTGCCAGATGTCAGAACTCGGATGTGTTCATAGCCTACACATCCAGGCCTACGGGCCTGCCCTGCACCAGCCATCTTGTCCCACTGACCTGCACACTGGAACAGCTCCCCTCACTCCTTGGCTTTCATGACCTTGACATTCTTGGCCAGTCATTCAGTGGGCTGTCCTAGAATTATTCATCCCAGACATGAATGGGCCTAGCTATGGAGCCCTCTGGACAGAAGCGAAGCTGTGTTCTGGTCGCCTCTCATCCAGGTGACGTGGGTGTGCACCTGCCTCAGGAGTAATGGTGGTTTTAGTGCTCTTTGCTTGATGACGACAGTGCCATTTTTCCCTGTAGTCTTTCCCGCCTTTGGTTTTGTGAGACCCTTTGAGACCACGGAGCTGTACCACCCCGGCTGCACAGCTACTGACTGGTTTTCTGCTTGGACCACTCCTTCTCCACTTTAATGAGAAGCTTCTTCTGCTCCCTCATTTTTTAAATTTATGTTGCTTTGGCTCTGATTTCCTATTTGATTCAACTGGCTGCAGTCCACTGGGATCTTGGTTTGATGCTCAAATAACCCAGGTGATGAGGAGGTATTCCTTCCCCTAGCTTTGCGGTCGTCCTGATGTGGCATACTCATTCCTGAGCCTTCCTTGCTTTTGGGACAGACCAACGTTCTTTCCTAGTGCTCAGGTCAGCCATTGCTCCCAGGAACCCCATTTCCTGTACCCACCACCTGCGTCTGCCCACAAATCCTTATTGCTCTGTACAGACTCACACTCTACCAGGGGCCCCCAACTCCAGCCAGCACTGCGGTTCCCTCTGGTGACCCCCCACTCCCTGCATCAGCCTCCCTCTCTCCATCAGGTAGCCACCTTCTCACCTGCAGTCCCTTCCACCTGCAGTCCCTCTCAGTGGAGGCCCTACCTCCGTGTGTCTTCAGGCTTCTGCCTGGGTCAAGCCCTGCTCTGAGGTACCCTGTTTCCTTCACAGACATTTGGGAGTGCCCTGCTTCTCACATGGCTTTTAAAACAGCTTTTAAAAGCTGGGGTTTTCTTCACTCTGAAATTTGCCTGGTAGGTTATAGATAACGGGACGCTGCTGCCCAGTTCTGGCAGTAGTGACATTATCTTATATGACTTCGCCACACCTTACAGTAAGGTGGGCAGGCAGGCCAGGCCCCCTTGATAGAGAGCAGGTGCCGACTTGGGGCTTCTCTGTCCCTTCCCTAAACGGGCTCCTTGACTTTATGTCGTGAGCTGGAAGAGGCCCAGGATTGAACTGGAACTGGGTAGAGCTGCAGGATTATTCTGTGGAATAATCCATGGAATAGATCGAAGCTTTCCAGGCCAAGACTCTGAGTCTTGACCGCTTAGTGAGTTCTGGAGGTGTCTAGGATTCTAGAGCTAGCTGCTCATGGGTTTTTATTTCACAGTGGTGGAGAGGCCAGTGGAGAAGAGACAGCCAGAGGTGGAACCTCCGCCCTTCCTGGCTGAGTGCCCATTGCCTCTGTCTGGCAGAGGAAAATCAGACAACTGATGCTGCTTTCAGGGCCATACTGCCCGGCTGTCCCAGTGTCTTGCATTTGAGTAAACGGCGGTGGGTAGTTAGCAAGTCACACAGCTTTGACTGTCTGCTCTGCTCAGCCGTGCTCTAATACCAGTCTTGAAACCCGGTGACTGCACAGTGTCTATAACTCTATCACGGCCGCAGAATGTGCTAAGATGTCCGTTTCGTGTGACCTCTGTTGGAAAAGAAGCAGGAACACTGTAGAGTCTCGGGATTTAATTACAGCATTTCGCCAAGTTGGGGATTGGGAAAGATTTTTGCATGAAAAGAAAACATGCTCCTTCTATATGCTGACTGTGTCTCCCAAATTCATGTCTGGAGGCTCTGACTCTCCATGTTACCACCACATTTGAGATAGGGCTGACAAGATTCAGTGACGCCCTGGGGTAGGACCTCATCTAGCAAGACTGGTGTGATTGTGTTAGGAAGAGATACCAGAGGTCTGGCTGGCTGCTGTGTGAGGACACAGCGAGGGGACCGTCCATGGACAGACACATCTCCAGAACCCAGTCCTGCTAGCACAACATGAGAAGGTGAGATTTCTGTGGTTTAAGCCCCTTGGTCTATAGTATTTTGTTTTGGCAAACCTACCAGACTCAGACTTACCAACTCATGCGTGGTTCAGCTCTCCTTTTTGCTGTTTGCCACTTCTTTCCCCTGCCCCTCCCTGTTCTCTCTTCTCACATCCTCCCAATTCCATTGTGTCAGTGTGTCACAGCCCTGTTTGTAAGGTCACCTTCCTTACACCACATAATGGTGCTCATCCACTGAGCAAGCATCCCCTCCCCGGCCCCAGCCTGGCCAACCTCCAACCCCTGCCCAGGGCCACTTCTTCCAGGCCAGTGCCAGAGCTCAGCTCCACACTGATGTGAGATCTCCTGCCCTGCTCAGTCTGGACTGAGTGTACAGTGGCTGTGCAGGCCTGTAGGAGGCAGTGTGCAGCATGGGCCCCACGAGTCCTGAGGGCTCAGCCCCAATGGCCTTTATGACACTGCACTGCCAACCAGGGTCCTCAAAGTCAGTGACCCACCCAGGATCATCCCTGCCCGTGAGGGTTCCGGTAGCCCCTCTTGTGGAGCTCAGCCTGTAAGTATTTTCAGCCAGCATCAGGGGAAAGAGAGAAAGAGAGAGAGAGAGAGAGAGAGAAGGAAGGAGGGAGGGAGGGAGGGAAGGAAGGAAGGGAGGGAGGGAGAGAAGGGAGGGAGGAAGGAAGGAAAAGAAAGGAATGAAGGAAAAGAAAGGAAGGAAGGAAGGAAAAGAGAAAGAAAAGAAAGGAAGGAGGGAAAGAAAGAATGTCACTTAATATCAGCATCTGTGCCAGGGACAGTGTGTGTGACAATTTTTCCAAAATCTTCAGCTCACATCAGCAGGGTATCACAGAGCAAAATGAGAAGGCATAAAGGGACTTTAAATACTTGTTCTTTTCCTTGTGAGTTGGTGGTCGCTGCCCAGCTGTCCCCAACTCCAGCTTGCTCACTGATGTGCGGTCACCTGGTGACGGCACCCTCAAAAGCAGAGCAGGGCAGCCCTGTGCTCTTGACCGCAGGACACACTCAGGTTGGCACCTGTGACATGGTTACGCTTTCAGGGGTTCATACCCTGTGCAAGCTAGAGCACCAAATGAGACACCTGTGCAAAGACTTGCCAGTTTATTATTTATTTCGATATTCAAGAACAGTGTGTGCTCCCATTGACCCATCCGCAGCGCATGCTGTCCAGATGTGGTCCCGAGCGAGGTCACTCAGTCCCCATCAGAGGGCGAGTAGTCCTGGTGAACAATTTGGAGGGTTTATTTCTGGAATTTTGTCCCCCTTGTTTTTTCTTACCCGCTCATCAATGACACTACGTATTAATAGGTGTTACCTTAAACCCACACTAAACTTTCAGAATTAGAACGGGATTAACGAGGTACACTCAGCCGTTACATTACCATCGTCATCTTGTTTTAAGGGAAGATGGCCAGCATGGGCTCCTTGCAAGGTCTGTAAAAGACATGCTAAATCAAAAGGCAGATCAGTAGGTTAGGGGAGGACTGGGGACGTTAGAGAAGGTGGGGTTCAGAGCTCCTCGTCCCCGTAGGGTCGGCCAGGCCAGCCCTGAGTCTAGGTTAGCCAGTCAGCCATGGGCACGCTCCTAAGTTGTTCACTAAGGGTGGTTCATTTCTAGGAGGCAAGTAGAGGACGTTATCTTTGCACTGAGGTTAGTGTGTGCCAGTGAGCACTGCCATTGTGAGCTGCCCTGGGTCACCCCCTCAGTGAGAACTGACCAGAGTGACTCCAAAAGGCCACCAGAGAACTCCTTCAGTCCCCCTCTGAGATGTGCCATCTCCCTGGACTCTCCCTGGGCTCTGTGAGGAAATGGGGTTCTCCACTGTGGCTGCTCTGGAGGCCGCTGTGCAGGGACAGTGACATCCAGTGGCCACACACACATCTCCAGCGCCTCATTCCCAAGGGCCCCTTTCCCTGTTGGGGGCCATTGCTCAGTCCGTGTGCCCCCTTCCCTCCCTCTGCCACGTTCGCTCGAAATCAGCTGGTGGGGTGTGGGGAGCAGCCGGCCTGGAGGTGCCCCCCACGTTACCCACACTGGACTCTCACAGCTGCCAGCCCTCACTCACATGCCGAAAGCTCCCAGTGTTTAAGCCACTCTGTGACTGTCTAATCCTGTTAGAAAAAAATGAAGTGAGAGAAGGGCCAGGAAAGAAAACAAAGGAAGCCTGGATCACGACAGTCCCTGTGCCTGGTTCTCTGACTCCTCAGCGTGTGCCTGATGGCTGTGCCCAAAGCTGAAGGTGCTCTTCACAGCAAAAACAAAGTCCAGGGTGGAGCGAGGGTGAACTTGGACGGATCTCTGTGCACTTGGACTGCAGAGACCAGATCAATGTGCACTGGGGCACCATGCAGGAGAGCAAAGGCCCCAAGGAAACTCAGTCTTCAAACAGAAAGTGACAGTTTTAAACATTTTTGTTTTCATTTTCTCCATTTAACTATTAGCTGGAAATTGCCAGTGGGGTGCCTTGGGCGTGGCCCCACTGCGTGCACAGCTCCAGGGATTAGGAGAGAGGGCATCTGCTCTAACTAGCTAATCGGTGCATGGAATTAAAGTTTAAGGCAGTTATATTAAGAAGCGGAGAGCGGGGCGTTGTAAGGACAGTCAGGGCTTCAGCGTCTTGCCATAGGAGATCCAGAGCGGCTGTCCCTTCCGCCCTAGGAAAAGGAAGACATGTGAGTTAGCTGAGCGCCATTGTGGCCCATCCCATGGGGAAAACAGACTGCTTTCCCCCACCAAGTTCCCGTTTCTGATCACAAACCATTTGGGGCTCTCTCATTTGCACCCCACCAGAAGTTTTGCTGGTCTTTTCACTCCATTGGTCACACTCTTTTAGCAAGTGCTGCTTGAAATTCAGTACTGTAAGATAGCAAGGGCACTTGACCTGGATCGCCAGGACAGGGCTGGCTGAGTCCAGCAGCATGGCATCTCTGGTGAAGCCTGTAGCTGTATGGCTTTGCTTTGAAGAAGCTCTTAATTCCTGCAGCTGGAGGACCCAGGACTGCAGGAGATGGCTCTGGAGACCCCCTCCCTACAAGGGAGGCTGACAGCGCTCCACCCACTTCCCCGCCCCCTCCACCCGTCACAACCATACTGAGCCTGGAAGGGCCTGAAAACCACAAACTGATGGGCTTTTCTGGACAAGCAGATTTGAAGTTAAACAAAGAAACAAAAGAATTGGCAAGCAGATAGAGAGGAAGCCCAGGCTTCAGGGGCAGCAGTGCGAGGGAGACCCGGGCTGAGGGGGCGGCCGTTTGCCACTCTCCGTGTTGGTGAGACGGGGGGATCTGCACTGGTTTGTTTTTTGTTTGCTTTTGCATTCAAGTTTTTTGTCTCTTTCTCCTTGGCTGTTCCTTTTTGTAATCTAGGATATGAATGAAAAGTTGACCCCTCCAAGATAGACTTTTCAAAGACAGTGAACCCCCAAGACCAAGAGGTGCAAGAAGGGTACTGACCCCCAGAGGGCGGTCAGCACTCACGTGACCCCTGCCTGTCTGAGCCACACTGTTCCCGGCGCTCAGAGCTGCGGAGACCTGAGGCAAGGTGGCCAGGATGGTCTGTGGCCTCAGCGGGTCAGGGCCGTGGCTCTGGCGCTGCACGGCCCTTGTTCCCAGCTCTGCCTCTCACTGCAGCAGGTCAGCTGTGTGCCGAGTCGCTGAGCGTCTAAGGAGTGCGTTGTCAGGAGGCCTCTTATGGAGGCCCAGGCTCCGCCCGCCTTAGGAGTCATGGCGTGAGGCCCGTGCCAGGAGGGGAGGGGCTTCCTCATTCACCCGGGCAGGGCTCGCTCTGTGTGGCCGGAAGACACAGGTGCAGGCCCTGGCCTCACCTGGGACACCAGCCCTGCCTCCAGCACTGCCTTCCTTCCCGGTGAGGAGCGGCCAGAACCCTGCACAAGCCGCTGCCTCGTGTCCAAGAGCCTGGCTTTGGTCCTGATGGAGGGCGCTGTGTTCTAGAAACCAGGGCACATCTGGGCTGAGCTGGACGTGTTCCCGGCATCGGCCTCTTGAAATGAAATGGTGGACGCACTGGTGCTACTTTCTGACATTGGGTTTGCTGAAAACCTGCGTGAGCAAGGTTTCTCCTTCGTGTTCTCAGACAGCCCTGGGGTGCACACTCGCGTCCTCATTTCGTAGTTGAGTCAGAGGTCAGCCAGACCGTAGAGGGAGCCAGGCTCAGAGCCAGGGCTGGGTGCTTCCTTGTCTTGGGCCTTTCTCAATACCTTGCTTTTGTACCATTTGAGCTCAGCCTTTGGGGTGCCCCGGGCACTGTAACTGAGCAGGCCAGGCTCAGCGGGTCAAGGCTGGACTTCTATCTGAGCGCAGGAACCAAACAGAACCTGCTAAGTGCATGTGTTCCTTTTGCCTCTGACCCCCACAACCTCACAGAAATACCGTGGGAGGCCTTTGACGTAGATGTAGCTCCCAAATGACAGGGAGACTTGACCTTCCCCTCCTTTCGCAGTGGCTGAGCCCTGGTTTGTTGGCATCCGGCCTCAGTACCGATCATCTTTGGTTGGAGGAGCTGACCGTGCAGAGCCGTGTCATCACGGCACAGATGGTTCTTTGCTAGTGACTCCTATGATATGCAGCAGGTGAACGGAGTGCCTCGTTTGGGTGAAGAGTGCATGAAAATGGCGGCTAGCCAGCTATTCTAATGAAGTCAGTGCGAGTGGGAGTTCTGACATCTATTCTGTGACAGCAGCTGCCCAAACACCCGCCCTGGATTCAAGGATGACGAGAGTTCACGGAGCCAGTGTGGGAAACGACTTCAGACAGCTGCCATCCAGGTGGCTGGGGACCACCCAGCCCCCTCTGCCTGAAGGCCCTGCAATGTGGCGGGAAAATTGTCCCCATCCTTGGACATGGAACCTTATAAATCCCAAGGCCTCTTTCTTTAAATCCAGTTCCGAGAGTCCCTAGTCCAGTCCCCATTCTCGCTAGCCTCTGCCAGAGACACGGGATTAGCACTTGAACATCGAAACACAGTCCTTGGCACTTGTCACTCAGTCCTTGGCATCTCCTGGTGCTTTATGCATCAGAGTCAAGGCTTTCCTGCCCAGGGACACCTCCTCTCTTCCCAGTCCAGCTCGACACACGGGACACCTCTGGGCTGCCTCCCTTCGAACCCTCTGAGGTCTTCTCCCATTCTGTCCCTTCTATCTGGAACGCTGTTTCCATGTGTGCAGGGCTGGCCTCGACTCCTTCATATCTTTGCCAAGTGTTACCTCCTCCTCGGGGTCCTCTCCAGCTGCCCCACCTGGCCATGTCACCCCCTCTCAACATGCCACACACCTGCCTTTCTCTCCTGAACTTGCTCACTTTGAACCTTTGCCCTACTCTAGAATACAACCCAGTTGTTGTTACTGTCTCTGCCGTCCACTTGGGTACCAGTTCCACAGAGACCACATGGGTGATGCTAGTAAGCTCCTGTTAGCCAGGTGGAAAGCTCAGGGCCACAGGCCTGAGGGCCCCTGGGCAGCCTCTGTCCTGTCCACACACATGGCCAGCTTGCCCCAGGCCCACCAGAGGCAAAGGTCATGTGAGTCCCTCTTGAGGCCTCCGCCTGCAAGGACAGTGATGGCCTTCGGTTGTCTCTCTCCCCAGGCCCAGAAGTCTGTCCCTACCCTCCGCCCTGGGAGCTGAGACCATGTTTGTCCTGGTCTGGACATAAGTGTAAATTCTGCAAGCCACAGAAGGGCCTTGAATGACCAGAGGCCAGGCAGGACCCTCCACAGGCAGGGTGATCCAGACTAAAGCATGATCTAGAATGGGCCAAGGCAGAGGCCCTCCACTGTCAGCCTGTGACCTGGCCATGGCTCCACCCTGAGACATTGTGGAAGGAAAGCATGAGGCTGCTCCCAGGTGCAGGGTGAGCGTGACCAGGGCCAGCCCCCAAAAGGCCTCCTGACCCTGGATCCTCAGAGTTGGGGACCTTAGCTCTACCCGAGGGGCATCAAGTCCACTTCAGCCTAGGGTTTGTCAAGTCCCCTGGTACCACTGAGGACAGAAGTCCTCAGAGCTGGCTCAGCATCAAAAGCCTGACCTGGGGTATAATCCCAGTTGCCCCCAGAATGGACCCCACCCTCTCTGGAAAGAAATAGAAAGCAAAGGACCCCTGTCTGAGCTCTGGTCACCCTGTCTTCTTTCTACATGGCCCCTACTGGGGGTCGTGAGTTTCTAGCACAGTACTCAGAGGCCTTCTGTGCCAGGTCTGCCTTGTTAGCCCCAATCTAACAGCCACCTTCCATGCCGGGGATGAAGTCACGCACCACACCAACCACAGCACACTTTCCCTACCTTTTACTTTCAGCAATTTTGTGAGCTATGTCTATATGCCACGCCCACTCTGTAGATGAGGAAACTGAGCCTGAGAGAGGTTGGGGAAGGGGCTTCAGGCATTTGTCCCAGGCATGTGTGGTTACTGTGCCCACACAGCTAATGGGGCCCTTCCTGAGGCTTCCTGGGCCACTTGGCATGGCTCCAGCGAGCCTCCCCATCCTTGTCTGCTTGTCTCCTGCTCACCCCTGGGGTTCCCACCAGCCAGCCCAAGGCACAGCTGCTCCTCATTCCCAGCTCGGCGTTTGGATGGGACTCTAGGTCAGCTGCCACCTGACATTAGCTCCAGGGAACTTGGTCCTGGTTGGAGCTGAGCTTTCAATGAGCCTTAGGGAGCCCTGGTGCTCATGACTGCCCCTTTGAAAATGCCTCTTGCTCCAAACGAACTTCCCAGGGACCCCAGCATGGAAGTCAGAGCAATGCTGACCCCCCCTGCTCCTGCCCTCGGACTTGGGCACAGAGCATGTGGAGGGCATGTTGTGGGTGGTGGGTTGGAGCCTGACCCAGTAAAGCTTAGCTGGGGATTCCGGAATGAATTTGTCTTTTAACTGACACCCTTCCTGACCCCTGGTATTACTCTGGAGTCCCAGCTCAGCCTGGAGAGCTTCTGAGGGCCTGGGGACATAGCACATGGCTCAAGCCCCACGTCCCCGGGGAGGCACCACAGTGTCCCCGATGGTAGGAAGGTTACATTACCAGCTTAAAGATTTTGGAAAGCGTGCCGTGGCCCTCGTGGGCCCCTTTGAGTCCTTTGTGAGCCGATTTATAGTCAGATCTGCCTCCATAGCCAAATCCTGGCTTCTGCCCCTCGGCCCCCTGCAAGAAAAGACCAGAGCTCAGTGTCCACTCAAAGTTGCCACCAGGGCCCCTGGGGCAGACCCATGCCACCAGGTGGTTTCAGTGTGTCCTTTGGGCCACCACCACACCAAGCTATGGTGGTGAGAGCAGGAGAGGCAGGCACCTGTCCTCAAGTCTATCAGGGTTGTCCTCAGACAGAGGGGCTCTGGCTTGGGCCAGGCAGTGCCATGTGGTCTGAGGCCAGTTTCACAGCTCGGAGCCACTGAGGGGCCAGTGGCTTAGCTTTGTGCTAGGGGGTCCACGCAAGAAGATGGTGAGCATCTGGCAGAAGAGGGTGCAGAGCCACTGTCTGTGCCTGTGGAGGAAGCACACCCCTGGGCAGCTGTCCCCAGGGCTGGAGCATGGGTCAGGAGGACAGCACCAAGCCCATCCTCAGGCTGCAGGGGAGCCTTTCCCAATGGTGACCAGATATCAGCCTTCCTGGCTATAGCTTGACTAGGGCCAAAGTCCTTGTCAGGTGCTCTGGGCTGCTTGCAGTGGACAGGAGGCAAGTCACACCTAGTGACAACCTGGGCAGGGTCTCAGCTCCCACTATGTCCTGGCTGGTTGACCTCGGGCAAGTGTGACCACCTCTCTGAGCTTCAGTTTCCTCACCTATAAACCAGGGTTAGTAATGGTCCTTTCCTTCCAGGCTTTGTGGGAACGGGATGAGTTAATGGAGATGCAGGCCTGAGAGCAGAGCCTCGGAGCTCTGGGCCACTGAGGCATCTATGCTATTATGGGGCTGACCGCCAGGGCGGATGGGCAGGAGGATGTTCCCTGGAGACGGACTAATGGCCAGTGCTGACTGAGATGCAAGAATCTGTGTCCCAGGACTGTTTTGTTTTCAAGCAGGCTGTACTGTCACGAGCACAAGCTTTGTGCGTCATTTAGATGCCACATTGCTATCGCTCTGGGAAGTGGCCTTTGACCTGGGTGTGCTGCCTAGGGGGCCGACCAGGCTGTTTGGGCTCCAGGAAAAGACCTTTGGCCTTAAAGCCAGGGCCCGAGACTTTCCCTCCCGTTTTGCCAACGAGAAATGGGAGCCTCGTCTGCTGAAGACTCCACCCATGAAGTCCCATGTCCTGATCAGCTCTGAGCCCCATGCACCAGCCTTTCTGAAGTCACATGGGCCTTGGGGCCAGAAGGATCTCGAGGGACAACTGGCTCATCCCTTCACCTTAGAGGTGCTGAAGACGGGATCCAGATGGTTCTGGGCTCTTTCGGGCTGTCTGAATGGTTTGGGGCAGGACTGAAATTGGGCCCAGGCCATCTATGCAGGCATTCCTCCTCGCTGGCTGCTTCTATCACCTCCCTGCCATTAACCTGCACTCGGGGGTGGACAGTGGCCCCCCGGCTCCCAGGCGACTGCTTTCATGTGAAAATTCAGTTTTCCAGGTTATTTGGACAGAGGCAAGTGACAGAGAAGATCTAAGCCCCACACAGAGGCACATCCCAGGGTCTCTGTGGACACACTTTCTCCAGGAGGCACAAAGAGGGACAGTGGCAGTTGGGAGCAATGCCACACAGAATGGACAACCGGCAGAAGCCCTGGTGAATGTTAAATCTCCTGCACGCCCACAAATCCTGGCCCAGTCTACTGGTTTTCTCTAAAAATAAAGTTTCTGAAAAGTGACCTCAGAGGTTGGCTTTCAGATGAATAATCTGTGTTATTGTCCTCTTTTCAAATTCTTGGTCAGGCTAGAATTTACCTAGACACGTACAATGTAGCTTAGAAAAGGCAAGTGGGGCTTTCCAAAACTCCAGATGGGGGATGGCCCCACAGCTCCGGAAAACAAGACAGACAATGGAACAAATGCAGAGAAGACGTGAGCTTTGGAAAAAGAACTCCCAGGAACGTTAGGGTGACCAACAAGGGGAGATGCAGAGGGGATCAGCCTCCTTTCTTGCTGGCCCGCGGGCCGACTGCAGAGCAAATGGCGCTCTCATCCCATTCCCACGCTCAGTGCTGGCTGGGCATGCGCCCCAATCTTCCATGCCTGGAAAATTAAGATGCTGATAAAGCAATAGCTAAAATGAGATTTCTGGATCAAAAATGGATGTCATTCTTTAAGGTCATCTTTTTCCTCCTGCTGGTACAGAAAACCAAAAATTAATCGTCTGTGAGTGCCGGTCCAAGTCAATTTCCTCCTGCGTTATTGTCATCTGTTTCAAGGATCCGTTAGGCGAGAAAAAGCAGGTCAGGTCCTATGTATTTCTAGAAAAAGTTCCAGCACTTGTCTTGGTTCGTCAAGGTGATGCATGCTAGAACAATCCAGGAGCTTCACAAAGTTTTCTCTTTCTCTCAAGTGATCCTTCCTTCCTTCCTTCCTTCCTTCCTTCTTCGCTCCCTCTCTCCCTCCCCCCCACATTGAGGACAGTTCTCCGCCAACAGGTTGGTGTTTACTCCTCCACTGACTTCTGAAAACTCTAACAGTCATCAAGTGAGAAGCACGTCTAGTATTTGTTGTAATTAAAGTCAATACACCTGTTTAGGATATGTGAGTAGGCATTTGAAGTTGGCTCAGACACCAAAATCACTAGTGTCTGGGAACTTAATTAACTGGCCATTTTAAATCTTCATTGAGATTTTGCTCTCAATATTAAAAAGCCTAAAATTTTGGAGGAGGTTTTCCTGATGGCTTAATATTTCAGTTTGTCATTACTAAAACCAGCAAAACCAAATCCTTTGGATTAGTGGGATTGCTGCAAATTAAATAATTGAATTAAGCACTGTTTGCTCAGCAGTATCATTTTCCTCAACAAAATCTTAGCATCTGGGCCTTTTTAGGGAGGTCCTCAGCACTGGTGCCTCATTTGAACCTGTTTTTCCCACCAAGTGTACTGGGAGGGAATTAGGTGCCACCCCTTCCCTGGGAAGAAGCCCAGTGGAGTTGGCCAGGTGCTCTCTAGGGAAGAGGGGTCTAGCCTCACAGTACCCAGGTCCCCAACACAGCAGCAAGGGAGGCTACTGCTCTGAAAGGGGGATCAGCTTCATGTCCCCTCTGGTCACCATGCTGGGCAAACTGGTCTGGGCAGGAAAGAGGAGGTGGGATGTTAGGCAACTGAAAGCGAGCAAAGTATAAAAGCCAGCAGACCAGAAAGGAGAAGGAAGCTGAGAAAGTGTTTGTCACCTACCCAGCTAAATCTGCTGAGGGACAGTCCTCTCCCCTGTGTGAGGAAGAGAAAGAGACAATGTCATGGTGATCGTGAGGGGGAAAGTCTTTTCATAAACCAGAAATGCAATCACAGTGACAGCACACAGATGCCACGAGGGTTCCGCAGTGGGGTGTGCAGACCCAGTGGTTGGCAGGGCCACCTGGAGCAATGAGGCCAAGATGCAGGCTCTGTTCAGAGGAAGAGTTCTGGGTCCATCGGCCCTCACCTGCCATGGACCAGCAGCCCATTCTATGTGGGAACCCCAGAGAAGAGGGTTTGGGGAAGACTTGGGGTAGCCCTGAGTCCAGCAACCTTTTTGGGAGTTCCAGGAAGGTCAAGGGATAATGTGGGGATTAATGAAAACATCTAAAGTCTTACCTTTCCTTGTGATGGAGGTGGTGTGCGAGGTGTCACCTGGAAGACACAGAGAAGGTAGACTGCAGGAGCTGCCCCCATTAGGGCAGCCTCACTGTCCTCTTGCAGGGCCTGAGCAGCCTGTGTGTTCCAAGAGCAGCCCTTATCTGTTAGGCATCAGAAGCCACCCGGGCTTCTGCCCTTCCCAGGGTTGGAGCGAGGTGTCCTCTGGCTTTCAGAGCCTCAGGGGCACCAAATACCCTCCACGCTGCCATTCCTAAACTGACCTGTGAGAACTGTCTCTTAAAATGTCTGCCACACCAAGATTTTACCATTGGAAGCCTGCTGTTTTCTTCCCGTTTTTAATAACTTTATTTTGCAGAGTGGTTTCAGATTTATGGAGAAATCATGCAGATATTAATTACATGTTTGCAACATACCTACAGAGCATTCCCACACACCAGGCTTGGATTTGCTATGAATGATACCTGGCAGCACTGGGGTTCATTTGCATAGGTGGTGAATGAATGTTGGCACTTAATTAGTAGCTAAGCAGTTTACACCAGGGCTCACTCTGTGTTGTGCATCCTACCAGTTGGGACAAATGTTATGTCCTGTGTCCTCCATTATGGCATCGCACAGAGAAGTTTTGCTGCCCTGAAATCGCCCTGCTCATTTTCATCCCTCCCTTCCAGCTGGCCCTGGGGCCACCATTGCTGTTTTTCCTATCTCCCTGCTTTTGCCAAGACTGTGTTGTCAGCTAAGCATCGCCTGGCCACCTACAGGGTTTCAGGAGAGCTGAGCTCTTTGGTGGAACACAGTGTAGAAATGGCAGGTGTGCTTAGGGACCCTGGGATCCTGTGCCCAAGCTCCTGCTCAAGTTCCCACTGAGGCTGAGCCCCTGGGGCCTGCTGTACCTAGAGAAGGACCTGCATCCGCCTTGGATATTCTCGGGGGTCTTGGATCACAGCCTCGATGGCAGCCCCTTCCCCTGACCAGTTCCAGGTCTCTGCCCACCCTGACTTACGATGTTCTTGAAGAAGTGGACTACTGGGTTTTCATCTTGGGTCCGGCCGTGCTGCTTCTGGGGCAGGGAACCATAGTGTGCAGTTCTTGCTGCGTGGTGTGAGTCCTGAAAGAGAGAGGCGGTGGGCTCAGGAGGAGGCCAGGCTGCATCTGGTCTCCTCAAGGAAGCCCGGTCTCTACTTCTCTGCACATCAGAATGGTGTTTTATTCTGAAGAGGGACCTGATGTCAGCAAGCTGCTGAGGGGTTACCAAGCCCAGCGGAGGCAGCATGGGACTTGGTGGCAAGAAGTTCAGCCAGGTACCCACAGCTGGCTTGGTGGACATTTCTACTTCGAATGCAGCGAAGGTAACTTGAAGGCAATTTCACTTGAGCCAAGAAAGGCTATGCAAAGCACTGAGAAGAAAACCTGGAATTACCCCAGGCTTCTGGGTTGGATGAAGGAAAATGGTCAGGAATGACACAGAACAACCCACCACAGCGACAGGCAAATAGATCATTGGCTTTGAAGCAGTTAACAACAGCAGCTAGCTGTGCTTCACAAAATATGTGACTGCCTGATTTGGGACTATCACTTCCAATCTTGACTAGGAGGAAGTGAAGAGGGGCAACCTGCCAGGTGTGAGTGTCAGGCCAACTCAGAATCCCCAGACCCAGAAGGTCTAGGCAGTAAATGTTTCCCAGAAGCCACCAAGTGGCAAGTACCATGAAAGCCATTCGTCTTGAGGGGAGAGCAAGCTCGGAGCAGAAGGAAAGGTGGCATTGGCTCTCATGAGCTTTGGGCACCCTCCTCGCTGGCCACTCTGCTGCAGTGCCCACCACGCATGGGGCAAAGAAGGCTGGCCCCCAGACGATGGGTTTCCATGCAAAAGAAGCCCGTTTTCAAAACTATAAAAGAAAGGGTCTCAGCCAAGCAAAGGCAGGGGCCTTGGGAGGAGCACACAGCACTGTTGGCTTCGGCTCCCTCGCTGCGGTTCCCAACTCCCATGTGGCTTCTCTCCCGTGCCTGGGAGGAAGCTGAGCCTCCCGTCTCAGGTCCCAGGAATAACCGCGGGACTTTGGAGCTCAGAGGCGCTCCGGCCAGGAGTCCGGCGTGGCAGAGGACTCTGCTATGACTGAGCCAGCTGGCAACACCCTGGAGGCTCCCTGTCATTCCCTGTGCACCTGCTCAGGAGACCCCTTCTCCTCCAGAAGACTTTTGCACTCTCAGGCCCAAAGCTGCTCCTGTGGATTTTTGCAGTCACAGACTTCACAGCTTCACTCAGCAGGTGACACGCATGATAGGGTCCCACAGGCACCTAGCGTTTGCTCGGCTTCCATGCACCTATTTGTTAATGTTTATGACTGATTCCCAGATATGGGACCAGGTTTGAGACCTCACAGTCACCTTGACCCTTTCCTTAACTGGCTTCCCTCATTAACTCAGCTAACAAATCACTAAGTGGTTTCTTGCATTTACCCTGTCCCCTCCCCACTAGGCACAAACACAAAATCTGTGATTGACGTCCCAGGTCTGCCCACCCTTTAAGCCAAAGTCCTAACTCTCCCCTCCAGCCATTCCTCACCCTGTGGGCAGAGCGAGCTTCTGAGACACACGGAAGTTCCCACGTCTCTTTCCTTCACGTGTGCCAGTGGCCCGCCACGCCCACGGAATGGGATCCATTGTCCGAGCATGTCTGCATGGCTGCCTCAGCCTCTGCGAGGGGCCTGACCTCCTTAATCTCCACCTACATCCCCTGTCCTCTGCTGAGCGCCCATGCCAAGTGCCCACTCCCATCTGTGCTCACACCCATCTTCTGTTCAGGTGGGTCCTGTGTGCCCTTGGCAAGGGGTCCCTTCTGTCCACTCCCTCCTCAAGGCCCATAGCAAGCACCTCCCCTGGGCAGGGCTTGTCCAGCTGGACCGCTTGTTGACAACCCCTCTCAGGCCAGGCTCTGCAAATGTGGCCAAGACAGAAAGACAGGGGTCCTGTCCAGAGTTTCCAGATAGATCAGTGGGTGAAAGAATGATGCAGTTTTACCCCTGTACCTCTTAATACGGGTGCCTCATATTTTCTGCTTACTCAAATTTTTCTCGTTCTGTGCCCCTTGTTGCCAGCCTTGCCCCAGTGAAGCCTTTCTCCAGCAGGATGGCTCACCATCCAGCCAGGGCCCTGTGTCTGCACCTATGTCCTTGTTTCCTTCCCAACTCTAACTCCCCACCTAGAGGAATCAGAGAAGTGACACGGCCTGCTTGGTCTCCTCAGAGGCAGATGCTGTAGTGTTTGAACTCGAAGATGCCACGATAGTTGGAAGGAGCCACGGCCCCCATTCCTCACTCTCCCCTGGTGCTGAGAGAACCTGTACTGCATCAGGGTCTCCTGACTCTTACCCAAGGCCTGGCAGAGTTCCTTCACCAGTTATATCCGTCACCACCCTCCAACCTCGCAACCCTTCTCTTCTGATGAGAGAGTGTGAGATGAAGAATTAGAAACAAAAACTGTCCAGCCAGGAAGCTTAGAGTTTACTGGCTCTAAGAGAAATAGCGTCAAGTGACCAGTCTGTCCACCAGGTGGCAATAATGCTTACTCTTAGACCCATCCTAACGGATGGCACAAACCGCTGCTCCCGGGGCTCTGTGTGACACGCTCACTGTACCGTCACAGAAGCATTGTCTACCTTTAGGTACTTCATCCTGTGACTAAGTTATTTCAGGGATGCTGGTCTGTCTTGTGCGGGTCTCAAGATGTTAAAACTTTGCTGTGAGAAATTCAGTGGCTGATGTTTGGGTAATGCTTTGAGTGATAAAAGTTACATATTTTGTTAGTCATTTTTATTGCGAATGCATTATTTACTAAACCTTTTTGGAAAGAGTAATGTACATCTTTTAAGGAGCTCATGAGGTCTGTGGGTTGCATTTTAGCTCTCGGAGCTGCAAAATCTGGGGCCAGTGCTGTTCACAAAGAGGTACAGAGTTAATTACGCAGTGAGCATTAACTGATTGTTGAATTAACACGAAGTCATTTAGATCACTTTGAGTACAGAACCTGACATGGAGTTATCACAGATAATTTGAGGTGGTCATGTGGTTAGCTGTACTCTGTATTACATCGTAGTGGCTTTTTAACTAAAAGAACAGTTAGACAACCATATTTCTGTATACTAGCACTGAACACTTAACACAAACCAAAAACTCCAAGACACTACCATACCCAATAGCACATGAGAAACAAAATACTAGGCAGGGCCCTGACAAGGCACTGAGCATCTTGGTCTGATGGAGCTCACCGTAGACCTTGCCAGGGGTTCGATCCCCAGCGCTACAGCACAAAACACAACCAGACTCCTTATGCTAGAAACCACAGAAGAAATCAAAAGAACTTAATTGGAGAGACATTCTATGTTTTGGGTTAGAAAACTCAGCCCAGTACCACGACAATGCTTCAAACTGATGTACAAATCTAATGCAAGATTTTGACTAGATATAGACAAGTGCGTTCTAAAACTGCATGCAAATGCAAAGGACTAAAGTAGACACACAAGTGTAAAAAAGAGGAAGTTAGAAGAATCCCATTATTCGATTTTAAGATTGACTTTGTAGCCACAGTAATCAAGGCTGAGTGGTCTCCGAGGAGGGGCTGACCTAGCGCCTGGAGGTGTAGACTCACAGATATGACTTATGGACTGTTAAAAAAGTGGAGAATGGAGAGTCTATTCCACAAATAATATTGGGAGAATTGGACATCCATACGCAGAAACTCAAGCCCAACCCAAGTTCATGTCTTATATAAACATTAACGTAAATAGATCACAAGTCTCTATTTATAGCATAAAGTTCTGAAATTTTAGAAGGAAATCTTCATGACCTGGAGGCAATCCTTAGGCCTGACACCAAGATCTAAGCCACAGAGGAGAAAATGGATTAATTTGACCTCATCAAAGCTTTCAACTTCCCTACAAGAAAAGTTCTTCGAGAAACATTGCTACGAGACTGGGAGAAAATACTTACAAATCACGTTTAAGACAAAAGACTTTGAAACTAAAATATATTTTAAAAAAACTCTGAAAACACAACAGGAAGACAACACCCTGATTAAAAAATGGATGAAGCGCTTGAACAAACAACTTCACCAAAGAGAGCATGTGGACAACAAATCAGCACATGAAGAGATAAATCATTGGGAAAGTCCAAATCAGAGCCATGAGGTGATATGGCCACACAGCTGTGAGCATGACTTCTAAAAAATACTGACAATACCAAGTGTTGCTCACGCACTGCTTTGGAATGTAAAATGGCAGAGTCACTTGGAAAGAATCAACTGTGCGCTTATTCTGTGGCAGTGCTGTGGCTCAAACCAGGGTCTGTGTGCATGCTAGGCAGTCTGTAGTCTTTTAAAAGAAAAATAAGTTAAATCTTAAATAAAAGCTTATACTCACACAGAAACCCATGTGTGAATAGTGGGCGAGAGAATCAACACACGATGGCATGCCCGTACAATGGATTATCACTCAGCAACAAAAAGGGACACACTTTGGTATACACAATAATTCACAGGCACATCCAAGATGTGCTGAGTGAAAGATGTCATTCTTTAAAGACTTCATACTGTTTGATCTCATAGCATGACACTTGTGAAAAGATCAGCCACAGTGAGAGAGCAGAACGGGGTTGACAGGAGTTAGGGAATGGAGGGTGTGGTCTGACCCCAAAGGGAAACTAGGAGAGGCTTTGGGGTAATGTCTCCTTACAATGGTTGCAGCTACACAAGTTGATGCCTGTGTTAAAATCCATAGAACTGTGCACAAAACAAGTCTATGCTACTGTATGTTAGTTTGCATGATGAAATAAAACAAGGCCATTTTGCCTGGACTGTGGTTATGCATCTCAAAACTGTGTGGAAGCTTTCTGTCATTGTGTGAGTGTCCTGTCATGGTCTCTGTGTGGCCTCCCTGAATCCCAGTTCTCACTGCCACTCCAAGCTCTTCTTACACGACACCCTGGCTTCAAACTCCCTCCCTCTCCAACCATTGCTGTTTTCTGAAACACATGCACGGTTGGACTGGGGACCTCATCCCTATTGGGTTGTCCCCAGGACAATGGATTGTCCTTGCACCTCACCTCCACAGCT